GTATTGGCCAAACCCTGTATACCCAATATTGGGTATTGGGTACCTATGCAAATTTTTTCATCTGCCATCGGTCCAACAGACAGATAGTTCTGCCCCAAACTTGAGTCAATGGTGCTTACCTATATGCCCCATTTGAACATTTTAATAGAGGTTTCTTTATGCACGTATGCTGCACGATGTTATGAGTCATCCCTTTGAACTATGTATTAAATTCACCTACCTTTTTCACCAAAGGAAGGCGAATGTTCTTCTCCTTTATGAGGGTTTCTAGTTTCTTCCTTGCAGCTTTTCTGTTCAAAGAAAAAAATATGTCTGTTTTAGGAAATGCTACACTGAAACAAATGGTGCAGTTGAATTTCTTTTCACTCAGAAATTACTGGTATATTTCACAAATAATTACAAAGAAACAGCAATTAACACGGTGATTTAAATGTGTAATTTTGAAGTAAAAAAGACTGAAATAGTATTTTCTTGTAAAACTCCAAATATCTCTGTTTTATTTTATTGACTCAAATGTCTTTCATTTGACAGTGTAGGCCGTATAGGCGTACATGTAGCCTAATATAAAAACTATATTCATATATCAAAACTATTTAGAAAAATATTCATAACACTCATTTATATAGGATATAGAATTATACAGTTTAATGTCCAGTGTATCATTAAGTCTGATGATATAGTATATTAGGCTAACTTATATGAATAACGTTAATGCCGGAAGCTGCGAGCTACTAGTGACCCCATCTGGGTAAAAAGGTATTTCATAACGTTAGCCTATTTATTTTCTCTACAGATTTGTCCTCTATTCACTCTGTGTAGCCATCATAAGCCTTTACATATTTTTGCAGATGTCATAAAACTTTTACAAATGTATAGACTAACTTGCACAACTTCATGCAACATGCAACGAAAATTGGAAGAATGCTTTGCAACAAACTATAAACGTCGTTGTCTACTAACGTTACTTACTTTTTGTCCATAGTCAGATGCCCTCATTTAAAATGGTCTACGGAAATTCATACATTTCTGCCTATCTTCTTCACATCGAGTAGCCTATATTTGATGGATTAGTGTACTGTAGTAAACGGCAGCGCGCAGAGTGAAACTGATGAAGGCGGCAGGCAGGTGGCGCGCCTCCCACGCGCATGTTCCCTCTTGTTGTAGTGGCCGCCGTAACCATGGTGACAACGTTACGTGAAATTTGATTGAAAGTTTTGTTTTTCCGTTAAAAGGGAAGTAAAGTCACAGTTGGATGTTGCTTCAACTTTGGTCACTTTAGGTGTGTGTTTTTTTTATTTATTATTAAAACTAAAAAGAAAAAGATCTCTCCATTTTAATATTTTATGATATTGTTTTACCCTAAGCATATCCATTAAAATAATAAATAATTATATATAAATATGAATATGTTTATGATTGAAACAATGCAATAAACCATTTCAATATTTATCACGTGAAAATTATTTAAATATTTGTATGAGTGTTCCTTTCATCACAACCAACAACACCACTAAAAAAAATTATCGAAAGTTGTTTACAACAGTGTCAATGAAAAGCTTTAGGCCTATATATTTTTTAGAAACGTGTGAAGAAAACAATGAAAAATATTTACTGCATGCAATTTTGTCAAAATTTGCAAAAAGTGTAAAAAAAATTATGTTATTATTATTTGTTGTATACTTTTTTCTTTTTTACTATTTATACTATTTAGGCCATGTAGGCTATGACACATAAAGTCAGCCATTTTTCTCCAAAAATACTTAAAATGTAATTTCCATCACAGAATGCCCCAAATCAAATGAGATGCTTAGGATATATAGCCTAAGATGTGGTGACAAGTTCATGATTTTCAGAAAAGCTGACAAAATGACAGAATTCTTCTGTGATGCCTCTATCTGCTGGCTTTATACCAGTAAAATATTGATTATAATATCAAGAACACAAAGCAATTACATTAAATTACACTACTTATCAATTTTCTTTCAGTTCTATTTAGTCAAGCATGCTTTTTTGACACTCAGGCCACATGATTATGTGATGATGTCCTAATTTTTTCCTCGTGACTAATTGAAAAGAGACAGTATCGTGCGTGATTTTCTAGGCTTCAAGAGACAAAGAGCTCAACAAATGTGTCACTCTACCTGTAACTGATACAGCATGCATCTTTAATAGAGGTCTTGTCTATGTAACAGAGAACAAATCCTGTATTCACACCTCATGCTTCTGTTCAAAGACAACAGTGTCCCATCCTAAATGATACAGTGACACAAAATACTAATATTACACTATTGCAGCACGAAAGGAATTTATATTATTCAGTGGACCATTTAGGTCCTCGAGTGCCATTAGGCCCACACAAAGGCCTATATCCTATTAAATATAGGCTACTATTAATTATTATCTTAATTAAGATATATCTGATAAACATGTCAAAGATTTCAGGCCTACATGTAGACAAACATTTTCATATTGGCCTACGAGATCAAATTTTGTGTGATTAATATGCAGCAATTTAACAAAAATGCAGCAATTAACATTTTTCATAACAAATAGGCCTAATCGATTTTTGCTTATTATTTTTTAATTTAAAAAAAAATATACATTTCTAAACAAATTGGAATGAAATGTTTTATATGCTGTTTTATTGTTCATTGAGCATGAAAAATTGCCTTTTTTCTATGAATTTCTTTTTATATTACATTTGGATGTTCTTTCTTATTAATAAATCTTCTCCTTTTGATTATTACTGTTTCCTCTGGTAATTATCTGCACTCAGTATTTTCAAACCTATTTCAGGTTTGTTTTTAACCAGCAATGTAGTAATTTTTAATCAATAGTTGAGTTCAATTAAACAACCCAGCAGGTTGGGTTAAAGATTTAATCCAACCAACTGGGTTAAAATAACCCACCGCTGGGTTAGTCCATATTTGACCCAGCGTTGGGTTGCCAAAATAACCCAAATTGGGTTGTTTTAACCCAGCAATTTTTTAGAATGTAAACTGTGCAGGAGATGACTCAAATATTTTATGTTTTATTGCTAACTTTTGGCCAGTATGTTGGTCTGAAATATTAAATGATAATTATTGAGAAAGAAATAATTATAATAAATTAGTTTAAACATTTTTTTTTTTTTTACGACAAACCTCCTGTCGAGAAGAATCTGCTGTTACCAATTGCACACTAGCTGATCAGCTGACAGCTTTGCGTTTGTGTTGTGGAGCCTTAGAACATCACCTGTCCTGTAGCCTCATTGCAAGTAGAAGTAGAGATTCCATTAAAAATCAGGAGGCTCAAACTAATAATGTCATACTGGACAAATCTGCAGGGGCATGAAATAACACACCGTACAAAAAATTTACTTGAAGAGTGTTGGGAGTATGGCCGTATACTAATATCAGTAGCTTTGGATGGAATGGGGGAAAGAGGCAAAAGGGATGGGAATAGACACTATTGCATGCAGAACAATAAGTAAGACGCCGGCCATCCCACAATGGTTATTTTGTTTTCCTGTAAACATTGAAACTAAAGACATTGCACAATCGAGCATAGAACAACAACAATATATAGAAACCAGGTAATGACTCAATGCAGATACGCTGATGCATCCAAAGATCCAATAACTGGCAAAACAGGTGCAGCTGTATTCATCCCAAAATACAATATTAACATCCAAAAAAAAAGAACATCAGATCACCTCTCAGTCTTCTCCGTTGAAATAATGGCCATTATTTTAGCACTGCAATGGGTAGAGGAAGTTAAGCCGCATAAGATAGTCATCTGTTCAGATTTCATGTCCTTCTTGTCAAGTATTCAGAGTGGAAAATCAATATGTAAGCAAGATCTTTTAGATTAAATAAATCAATTAATTTTTAGATTAACTCAACAAAGTATACAGTTTATTTGGGTTTCAGTGCATGTGGGTATTGAGGGAAATGAAAAGGTGGATAAATAAGTTAGCAAAAGAAGCCCTGAAGGCAGAGCACATAGATATACAAGTTCCACTAGTAAATCGAAAAATTAAAGTTATCATTAAAGATACTATTAACAAAATGTGGCTGGATACATGGGAACAGGAGGAGAAAGGAAGACATTTATAAAGCATTCAGAAAGAAGTGATAGTTAAAAAGTATGCAGTAATCTGAGAGGAGGAAAATTACAAGGTTGAGAATAGGGCACACAATATTAAATGGCTGCCTAAATATAATAGGAAAACACCAGACTGGACTATGTATACATTGTGGAGAAGTGGAAAATGTAAAACATTTACTCTTGATATGTAGGAAGAAAGTACTCTGAAAAAAGGAAAGAACTAGAGAGGGCAACGAAGAATGGATTGTGTTTAAAAAACCTATTGAGTTTGTATGGCACACAATCTATAATTAAGGAAGTTATGATCTCTCTGAAAGAAACTCAGCAAATAGAATTTAGATTTTTATTTTATTTTTCGTGTAAACTGACAGCCCAATGAGATCACACCTCAGTCCAGAAGATGGCGGTAATGCACCTCGTTTGCAACCTGACAAAACTACAGAAGAAGATGAAGAAGAAGAAGAAGCTGACAGCTAGCCGAGTAAAAAACAAACAAGCGGAGGTAAGCCCGAAGTGTCTTGCAAGCAAATATTATTGAACAGTTTACTGAATAATGCATGAATAATAGCCGTGTATTTCAACCACACTTGATTTTCAAACATACTTGAGTTTGTATGTGGTTTTTTGGTCTTCTGGGACGAGCTCGTTTCCGAACACTGAATTTATTCGTGTGATGTTAGCTGTTGTTGAAAAGCATTTGTTTATTCAAATAATTAAGACGCTTAGTTATGAACATATATTTGCATCCATATTTTCTGTATGTGTCTAAGGAGAATTTCTGGCTACATCACGATGGCAGAGTTATTTGACGTGCTTATATGTTTCAGTCCATCTCTGCAGAATCTATGGCGGTGTCTCAAAACCTAGGGAGCTGCCTACGTCTGTTTCTGCCGTCTATGCTGTAAAACCATTATTTGTTTGTCTGTCTTCTGAATACAGGCTAAGATGAGGAAAAACAAAGGGAAAGCCAATACAATTGAAAAGGAGTTTGTGTTTGAGTTTAAGGCAGGAAAACATCACTGTGTCCTCAAAGTACCAATTCAGTTCCCACTCAAAGAAAATGTCAGTGATCTTCATGGGCGGATCATGCTGCTTCATAAAATCCCCTGTTTTGTAGAAAATGGTAATGTATTAACATTTATTTGAGAATGTATCAGATTCAATCCTCAGTTTATCAACACATTATTTTCAAGTTGTAAACATGAATTATTGTGTAAACCCTCTAACGCTTCTACATTGATTTTAGACTTGAAAAACAGACTTGTTAGTTTCATAGAGAGGGAAATGTTAGCGGATTACGACCGAGAAGCAGAGGCAGCCCTGCAGAGACTCACTACTGGAGAGGTTGACGTCAACAAACTTACAAATATATGGGCCAAGGCCTATTCTGAGGTGAGAGCACAGACTTAATCTAATAATTCAATTACTTAAGTATTATTACATTCCTTCTACATCTACACCAGCACCATTTTATTTATTGGCATGACATTTTAATTTTTTAACGCCTATTTTTTTGTGTTCAGACTTTTTTGGGGATACAACATACTTGTCTTATTTATAGTTTTCTCTGAATATTAACATTAAAAAGATATTTTAACATGAAAACACACTTCATCTTTTAATTCTAAATCAATTTCCATTTATTAATTATATCAGTCAAGTCACTTTTATTTATATTGTGCTTTACACAATACAGGTTGTTTCAAAGCAGCTTCACATTACTAAAACTGGAAAATAAATAACATTGTCAATTTTGAATCGAATTCAAATTAATCTGTTTAACAGCTCTACGGAAGTTAATAGTGCCATTATATTTCAGCTTAATTTAGTATGATGTTTCAATTTCAAGTCATTGTTTCAATGTGTCAGTGTTGCAAAGTTGATTAATTATTAATCAAGTTATGATAAGCAGCTCAACAGAAGGCAATAGTGTCATTATTCAATTTAATTCTAGGCTGGAGCGGAAAATTCAGGTTGCGCTTGCCGAAAACCGAAGCCGATAAATAAATAATAATCAATTAATAATCGAATTAATTTAATAATCAACACTCAAAAAGCTAAAACTGAGTTGTACAGTTTTATTAACAGAATTGTTTCTTCTTAAGTTTGTTGGTGAAATAAACCTTTAAACGACAATAAACTGTAATAACTTGTTTTCATGACAGATTTATTCAAACATACAATAAATAGGCTAATGAAGTCTTAACTAACAGGTTAAATAAAAACTGAACACAGTCAAAACATGCAATCAGAGTAGTGATATGGAACTGTAATGCGGTCAAGACCTGCCTGGAACTACTTTATGCGGCGCGTACACAACAGTACAATACATTGAACGCACTGTAATTCTATCCCTTACAATCTCATTTTCATTCCCGTCAAAAATTAATTATGGCGCTATGCTGATTAAGGTCCATTACTAAGCTCAATTATTTCATCCGGTAGCATCAATGCAGTTAAATCAACTGAATTACTCAATATCAGTCGTCTTTTAATTTGCTAATTTGTCTTTTAAACCAATAAATCACACTGGCTCTGCCCACACAAATAATTCCTTTGAAACAGAATATCTGTCCTATTTCCACATTTAAGAAGGTCAGCCTGACCATCTGCATTAGCACTTCAAAGTATTGCAGTTTAAATTCTGCTTCCACTTGCTCCAGCAAACTTATAAAAAGAAAGCAGAATCCACCCCCTCCCTTTTCTATGAAGCGCTGATGGCTCACAGCTATGCACACAGGATAACCATTAACATTTTACAGCAGCCATACACAAATACACATGGATGCTCTCCAATCTATTTTAAGCTCATCAAATGGCCTTTTAACGACCACCTGGTTGTTTATGTAAAAAGATTCTTATAGTTTTATTTATAGCGGTTAATTAAGCTTCCAGGTCTATCTGCATATACAAAGTATGTAGGAAAAGTTCATCTAATGTATAAAAATATGTTAAACGACCTATTAATTTATTTAGAAATAAATATGAACTATAAATATTAATAACAACATCAAGATTTAAAGACCTAATCATATCAAAGACCTAATCATATCAATTACCGCTATGTGTTCGACGTTGTAGAGAGCGAAACATAAAACGCATTACCATTCTGATACATTGACTTTTGTTGACGAGCCTGTATAGTTCACTCTTCTGAATCAGTTTTTGGTATAAACATAAATGGCTAAATTAAACCAATATATCCACTCGCCACTGTGTAGCATTTACTACAGTTGATCGAGTGGATCAGGAAGTCCGAGCTGGTGTGATTGAGTGGAGACAGGGACTCATTTGCATATTCATGGATCCACGTATTCTTATTGAATCAAGGGTGTAGAGTTACATTCAAGCTATTTTAAGGCATGAAAATATTATTTTCACAAAAAAATAAAAACGTTTAGATAGGTCATTTTGATTTTTAATCAATTTTTAATCAGTTTTTTAATGGATAGAATTATTGACTGCAGGTGGACTTTAAAACAACAACATACAAAAGCATTTAGGGAAATCAATTTATGTAGTTCCAGTAGGTGACTAGTTGGTACAGAACAAGTACTCAGCAAGTCGATTACTCTTGTGCCACCCTGGTAAGTGTGTCTGTTCTGTATCATTTCTGTGTGTAGACTACACTGGAACATGCCCGTCCTGAAGAATCCAGCTGGGACGAGGATTTTGCGAGTGTCTATCATGAACTGATCCACTCTCCAGCCTCAGAGACCCTTCTCAACCTGGAACACAATTACTTTGTCAGTGTCTCTGAGCTCATCAGCGAGAGAGACATGGAGCTCAAGAAACTTCAGGAGAGGTTTGTGTGGGAGTTTGCAGCGAGATGGAATTCTGTTTTATGAGGCAAAATGCCAGGGAGTGCAATTTGGATAATGAGCTCTGAATGTAAATACAGAATCTCTCCATATTCAGTCAAAAATAAGAAGTTTTGTTTAATTGCATAATAGTGCAGATGAAGTACTTTTATTTGTGTACTTTTTTGCATATATTCTTTTTAAAGATAATGATAATATTAATTGTTTGAACAGAAACTTGTGACTGAAATGCAAGTCAACATTTGGACACAACTTTTTTCTTTATATTGACTATTTTTCACATGTTACATAAATATGAAATTATTATTTATTTTTAATATATGCACTACCATTTAAAGTTGTGGTGTTAGATTGAATTTTTTTTTAAAAATAAATCTCTTATGCTTGCCATGGCTATATTTATTTATTTGTTATTTATTTGTTATTCCTGTGATGCAAAGCTGATTTTTCAGCATATATATATATGTGTGTGTGTATATTATATTTAAATATTTATATGTAAATAGCATACATATATGTGTGTATACACAGAAACATGTCCAAAAGTCCAAAACTCCTACTATGAAATAGATGAAATATTAGAATTTGTCTTTACAGACAGGCTGTTGAGATGAATAAAGTCATGCAGGAGCTGGGGAAGAGCTTGTGTGACCAGGATGTGAATACAGTGGCTGCCCAACACTTTGATGCACAGCAAGTAAGACCAAACTGTCAAATTGAAACAAACTATAATAATGCAAAACATATTAATGACTCCAGACTCTTCTGTTTGGTGTTTTTGTGATGGGAAGGTGCTAGAGAACAAGTGGGCCAGTGAGCTGAAGCATGTCACAGGCATCCAGAAACACGAGTACCAGGAATGGGTGATGAAGCTTCACCGGGACCTACAGAACCCCAACAACAGCACAATAAAGTGAGTGAAAGAGAAAGATGTAAAGATACCGATGGCATTAAGATTATGAATCCTTGCCGAGGTGATCAATGATTGTGTCAGGTGCTGAAGTGAATAGTAGTAGAAATCAGACACAGAGAAGCTGAAAGCTGCCCATGTGCGAGTAACATCCTCAAAGAGATTCTTCTGGTTCTGATTTAGGAAATTCTGCCTTAAACATTTCATTCAGTTTCATTGACTGTGAATGTTTTTAACACCACATTATGTGCGGTTTCAGTTCTAACTGATTTTTACTGCATCACAGCTTGGACACATTGACACCGTCTAGCACATGAGTAAATAGTGTTACACTAGAGCCAACGGCAAAACAACTGTATTTATCATTGTGATTGATGGACGGCGAGGAGCTTTAGAAGTTGAGCTTGTTATTTGTGTTTCAGCGAGGAGATCAAGGTGCAGCCCGGTCAGCTGGGGGAGGCAGGGGAAGCGGGGGCTCGGCTCTTCGAGGAGCAGCGACAGCTGGAGGAGAGCTTCACCATCCACTTAGGTATGGCGTTTCCTTGGAAACATTGGGCGCTACAAAACTGCACATAAAAATACCCACATACAACAAACCGGCGCGGGGATTTACGCCCACTTCCAATGTGTTTTCAGTCTGCCTCGCAAGGTCATTATAAACAACAGTTTGTTCACATGTAGTGGACATGTTCAATTAATGTTTGACCAGAAAGCGTCCAAATGCATTTTGTCTCGATTTAAAACTTCTTTTTGTGAAATGTTTTGCTTGAAATATTCTTTGACTCTAATTTAGTATCTAATATAATGACATTGATGCACATTCATGCATTTTTAGTTTTGGCTTAACCAAATATTTTTCGGGCCACTCTTCATAAGTTAAGGATGCACCCATTTTAAAATTCTGGGCAAGAACGTAATCTGATAATTGAAATGTAAATTCGTGGCATTCAAATGAAAAGTCAAAAAAGTCATAAAAAAGTGTTTTATAGATTTGTAAAGTCAAATTGTGTTGTGAGATATAAGCTCATTTTCTCGCCATGAGTTTATATCTCACAATTCTGAGTATATAACTCGCAATTGCGAGAAAAAAAAGTCCTTTATAGCTCGAAATTCGAACTTTATAACTCGCAATTGTGAATTTATATCTTACAAATCGAAATTTATAACTCGCAATTGTGAATTTATATCTCACAATTCTGACTTGCAAGAAAAAACAAAGACGCAGATAAAAAGTCGCAATTACCTTTTTAAATTTTTTATTCTGTGGTGGAAACAAGCTTCCTTAGAATTTAGATGCCACAACACTATAAAGTACAGTATAAAAATTCTAATAAATGCCAACTTCATGATTTAACTTTCTATTCATCAAAGAATCCTGAAAAAGGATGTTGAAAACTGTTTTCAACCTTGATAGTAATAAGAAATGTTTTTTGAGCAGCAAATCAGCATATTAGAATGATTTCTGAAGGATCATGTGCCACTGACTAATGAAAATTCAGAAGTTGTATAAATAAGCAGTTGTTATAATTGTAATAATATTTCACAGCATTGGTTTTTTACTGTATTTTTCGATCTTATAAATGCAGCCTTGATGAGCATAAGAGACTTCTTTCAAAAACATTAAAAACCTTACCGACCCAAAACTTTTGAACAGTAGAGTATATCCAATATACCGTACATCAAAATATTTATTTTTAAATAAACAGATAGCCAAAAAGCCACTGATGTGATGCGTATATTTCTCTCTTTCAGGGGCTCAGCTGAAGACCATGCACAATCTCCGTCTGCTGCGATCAGATGTTCTGGACTTTTGTAAGCACCGTCGGCACAGCAGCAGTGGGGTGAAGTTACGGCGACTGCAAACTGCCCTCTCGCTCTACTCCACATCGCTCTGCGGCCTGGTGCTGCTGGTCGACAACAGAGTCAACTCGTACAGTGGCATCAAAAGAGGTATCATATCTAATTTGTAGCATTTAGTTGCAAAGATAAACAAAAGTCAAATTAAAGACAACTAACATAAACAACAATAATATCTTCAATTGTTCCTATGGCTTCAGACTTTGCAACAGTGTCTAAAGAGTGCACAGACTTCCACTTCTCCAGAGTGGATGAGCAGCTGGACATCATCCAGCAGGTGGTGCTGTACGCACGAGCTCAGCGCAGCAGCAAGCAGAGAGAGCAGCCCGGTGAGTGACACAACAACTGTGTGTGTGTGTGTGTGTGTGTGTCCGTCCAAAACCAGCACCTCTACATTGCACCATCGCATATCCAACTTCAGTCCCACCATGAGGAAGTGTTCAGTTTCATTCGACAGGGACTATGACAGGCTACAATGAAACTTGATACACATTTTTTTTTTCAAGATGCACAAATGTTTTGGCAGAAAGTGCACTGGTACAGTTTTTCAGTTTGCTAACTGTTTGTAATAACTGTTGCATATTTCATTAACACAGTGACATAGTCATTTGCAGTGAATTTAAACCACTGAGATTCAACTTTTATTGTGTGGTAATTGGTACAATAAGAGACTTATTTTAAAAACATTAAAAAAATCTAAATTATTCCAAACTTTGGACCAGTTGTGTATATACACACAGGGGTTGTATATTTCATACATATACATATATACATTTCACCCCTAAATCAAAAGGAAATTACATGAAACATAAATGTATTTATTTTAGTGCTGGGCAAGTTAACGCGTTATTATCGCGTTAACGCATTTATTAATTAATGGCGACAATTTTTTTATCGAGCGTTAACGCAGTTTTTTTTTATTATTATTATTTTGAAAGTCCGTTGCTCACTGGCTCTGAATACACATAGGCCTACAGTCAAACCATGTTCACAGGAGGGGTGGGATGTTGGTCAGCCAGCAAATAACCCACCCAAACAAGCAGTGGAGAGGCTTTGGCAGGTTCTCTCAGCCTCAGGTGAACAGAAAGGGAGACAGCGCTCCGCGAGTGAATGACAGGCACTCTATGGATAGTAACCATGGCAACGGCTTCTGTGCGCTATGCAGCTGTAGCCTTTTTAACTTGAATTAAAATTATACATAACTTTACCTGATAGGCCTGCGTTTCGTTTAGCGGGGATGCTCTGCCATGTGAATTCCCTCCTGTTGATGTCCTGATAACTATTTAGATTCTGGAAACTCACAAACAGCGAGCCGAGGATCAGTCTCTCTTCCAATGATTTGTGCTGCGCGTCGAGTACAAAAAGTTAGACAATTCAACTTCGGCAACGCGCGGCGCGTGCATGAGGCGAGCATGACCGCAACAGTTTCACAGGAACGCACCCGCTTGTCGCTGCACCTGTGCTCGACCACTTCACCTCACTCTAGGCTGATTTGACGTTACATTTTTGGAGAGATGCACGTCAGTGTACGCACGCTACACAGCTACGGCGTGAGTTCGACGCAGAAGTATAAATTGGGCTTTACCTCTGTTTAATGTAATCTTACGTGGGAAACCATGGCATGCCATGACCAAACCTAAGCTGCTATCAGAGAAGTAACGTTGGTCGACTGACTCGACTTATATCTGTAGTAGTGATCATGACCCTTTGACTACATAGACTGTTTCTGCTGCTCCCTGATACAATATACCTGTTCAGAAAAAAACAAACAAGAAAACTGGACTCGTTTTAACAAGCTAGATAAAAGGTAATGCCCTGGCAGTGGCAAATAGCTTTGTTTAAATATTTGATTTGATTACGTTAATGTTTAAGTTGAGATTTACAAGAAATATTTTATTGATACTGTGTAAAGGAAATACTGCTGGTATAAAAGCACATTATTTGTTTAAAGTTTTTGCAAACCACATGTTATTGCACTTTTGTAGCAGTACATTTAAATCAAAAGTGCGCAATACACTACTTTAGAATTCATTATTCAATTTTGCACGTAACAATGCGATTAATCGCGATTAATCGCAAGAAAATCATGCGATTAATCGCGATTAAATTTTTTAATCGTTGCCCAGCACTAATTTATTTATTTAAATCAAGCATATCCTCCCACCCCAATTCACAGCAGCCTGCTTTTTCTTATTTTTAAAACAAATATAATTTTTTTGGTTGCCTTTAGTTTTTTTGTAGTAATGTTTCTGCCTTCTTTTATTTTGTATATGACAAGCACATTCTCTCCCAAATTCAGTTACTATAGTGCAAATAAAAATGGTATAATCTTTAAATTGTAAATTGTATTTATACTTTATTTTTATGTATTTGTTGTACTGACTTTAATGTGTGATGATACTAAATATTTGTGTCCAATAAATCTAATGACAATCATTGTTTAAAATTATGATAATTACAAACTCAAAAGTGAAGGACAACATATTTGGATGCATTACATTAATACACATCTTGATTTTGTTTTATAGAGATGACAAGAAATGGGGGAAGTGAAGACAAAAATAAGATCATAGATAGGAATTCCTCCAATATCCTCCCAGGTAATTCAAACATTTCCGTATGCTTTTAGCGCTCTGTTTGATTAGTCCTAACATGCTGTGGTTTTTCATAAGGTGAATTCTACATCTCTCGCCATTCCAACCTGTCTGAGGTTCATATTGTCTTCCACCTCTGTGTGGATGATAACGTGCGTTCGGGGAACATCACAGCCCGGGACCCGGCCATCATGGGCCTGAGGAACATCTTGAAGGTCTGCTGCACCCATGACATCACCACCATCACCATCCCACTGCTGCTGGTGCATGACATGTCTGAGGTAAGAGTAGATAGATGACATTCATTTCATTAAAGAAAACATTTTTATTGCTGAACTATTTTGTAAACATTTACAAACAATGACTTATGTTTACATTATTTGATCATCTGTTAAGTGAATCATGGGAGTGATTCATGTCTGAATTCCTAAAAGTGTCCAAAGCCTGAACTTTTGAGCCGCTAGACACAATTTTGATGTCTGTAAAAATTGTAGTTGAGGACTTAAATATCGTAGGGTGTTCAAAAACCCAACTGAGCCTCAACTTTTCTATTACTGGAATCTATAACAATCTACATTCTAAGTGTGTTCCAGAACATTCTGCTGCCAACTACCATCATTAAGATGTTTTTGTGGGAATGTTGGAGGCTTTGGCTCTTTACAATGGCATCTAGTTCTAGAACATGCAAACAAGCAGCCAAACAAAACAAAACATTCCAGTTCCATTTTAACCACCTGCGTGACGCTACATATATCTGATATATTTGCTCTCAAGAAGCAAAAAGCATTTTTGTTCACTTGTGATCGGTGTTCCTATTATTCAGCATGCATTTGTTTTCCTTGAAGATGTTGCTTCATTGTGCACGCTTAATTACTGTAATTTATTAACAAGCCAAAGCATGTGATCTGGCTTGCATTGATGTGTGGAAAATGAAAAGGCCCATGTCCTATTATGCAAACAATTGTATTCTACTTAAAATATGAACACACAAATAAACAAATCATCATTTTGAATCCTAGAGTGAATTTAGGTAGTGATGGGAAATGCACACGCTGGTGGTGCCTGCTGGTAAAAACAGTGTAAATGTAATGAAATCCCATCCAAAACGTGCATAAATACACATTTTACAAACCAATTGCAAATGTATCTATTAAATGCAATTAACAAATCATTTAAAACCATTAAATATGAACTGTCTGTATAATATAATATTTAATAAATTGTAGGGCTTTTATGGAGAGCTTGGTTAATCAGGCCAATAAGAGACTTTTAACTACAACTCTTCCTTATTATACAAATGTGTCATTAAAAATGTCTACAAATTCATAAAACTATATAGACACTGGTTCATGCGTTCACAGAGATCATTGCCCCCTAGCGGCGAACCATTGAAATGTCTAAATGTTTCGAAACGGTTATGACATAACGAAGACTTGTTAACTAAAATCACAAACGTTTGAAACATGTTGCGAATCACAGGTTCAAAACAAATGATTTCCAAGGGTTTTGAAGCTTCACGAAGCGCCAATCACTAAATTTAGGCATCACAACATTAAAAATTGCTTCTTTTTTTTTTTTATGTAACTTATTAGCTTAAAAAAAAAAAAAAAAAGATTACCTGTAAGTGAGCATAAGGTGACAGCAAAGGTAATTGACAATGTAAAAAAAAAAGGAATATGCTAAAAAATATCCAATATCAGCCAGTATGTTGACACATCGTTTAAATAATGAACGGTAACCAATGTGGTACTGAGATTTTGTCCTGATTAAATTGAACTCTTTAACTTTAGGTTAAATTTTAACTTGGATGCTCAACCTCAAAACTCTGTCGTCTAATTTAGAAATAGTCTGTTTTGGATCAGGCCGTCTGGACTGACCAATGTAGTTCTGGGTAAACGAAAGCCTCAATCACAGCCTCTCTGACCACAGGCCGATGTTGAGGAATGTTCAGTGTTCAGGAAATGTTTTTCATCTGAACAGGAACTGTGTGTTCTCCCTGCCAAAGGCCAAGGATGCTTATAAGGCTGAGGTCTTAAGCTCTTTTGGGACAGGATTAGTTTTTAGGACGTATATGTCTGTAAAGTAATTGTTACTTTGGACATCTGTAATGTTTATCGTTGAATGTCTGTAGAAATCGACAAGATAAGTGCGACTAACTACTGCATTTATATTGCTGTTAACAAAATTATCTATAGTAAAATATTAAACGTATGACAAAGTGAAATTAATTTGAGATCTGAATAGTACTGTATGAGAAGTTGTAGTTCTTCTTCACTTTGTGGAAGTTTTTCTCTACAAAGAGTGGTTTGGTACTTTAAATATTATTTCAGTCACTGATTTTATCCCTCTCTTCCTCCTCTTCTGTACAGGAGATGACCATTCCCTGGTGTCTGAAACGAGCTGAGCTGGTCTTCAAGTGTGTGAAAGGTGGGCATGCAAAGAGCACAAATGTAGAATGTGCAGAAACTGCCATTGATTATCGACATATTCTATCAATAGCCTATATATAATTTGTTTACATTCTGATTATTTTTGTCTGTAATGTTGGTTTTAAAGGCATCTAATACTGGGTTGTAAAATATTTTAGTTGAAAAGATACCCATCCCGTTTAGTTGGTTGTGTAAGACTAGCCTTAATGTGGATATTTAAAAAAAATATTTTGCAAGACATTACATTATTCTTTACATATTATTTGGGAACAACATATTTAAGTAATTTCCAAGGTCAACCCTTTAGGATAAAGCATATAACAAAACAAACAAACAAACAAAAAACAATTGTTTACTTTTGAGGGTCAATAAGAGTAGTATAATCAATCAATTTAGTCGAGTATTGTTGTTCATATTTAATTATCTTCTGTTTAAAATAAGTCATTTTCTCCATTATCTCTACTTGAAACAATATGATAATGGTAAGAATGCAAATTGAGTCTTTACCTTTTTTATTTAGGTTTTATGATGGAAATGGCCTCCTGGGATGGAGGAATCTCACGGACTGTTCAGTTCCTTGTTCCACAGGTTAGTTTTAGCCTCATTGACAGTACAGTAGAATAAATAAACCATAATATACTAACTGTATTCTCAAACAATAGTGTCCATCGGTTGACAAATGCTTACAGGCTTAGTGGACTCTTCACATTCACAGCTGCCTGTTTTACTCTTTAACACCTTTTAAAATAACTCCTCTAAACTAAACCCTGTTGTCTAGATGCCGAACACACTGTATACTTACACTGTATATATATATATATATATGTACACTATAATTAAAAAATATGGGGTCTGTAAGATTCTTATGTTTTTGAAATTTGATCAAAATACAGTAAAAACAGTAATATTGTGGTATAATATGTAAAAAAAAATTCTATTTGAAAATATTGTAAAATGCCATTTATTCCTGGTGCGGCGAAGCTGAATTTTCAGCATCCTTATTCCAGTCTTCAGTGTCACATGATCCTTTAGAAATCATTCTAATAGGCTGATTTGCTGCTCAAGAAACATTGTGAAAGTCTAACTTTTGGTCAATTTAATGCAAAAAACATAAGCAACTTACTAAAGAATGTGGCATCAATCTGTCTTTCTGATTGTCTTTTATCATCAGAGTATCTCAGACGAGATGTTCTTCCAGCTGAGCAACATGCTTCCTCAGATCTTCAGAGTCTCCTCGACGCTTACGCTAACGTCAAAACGCTAAACACACACTACGCCTCAGCTGGTGTCTTGTCACTTTAGGTTCTTAATTTTCGGAGACGTACAAACCGTAAGCTGTTTTGATATGCACACTGTCATGTGATCAACACAATCCTGTCACCGGAGGCTTAGCACCATGGCCTGATTATTTCAGTCATGAATTTTCACTGGAATTCATAGATCTGTGCATTCCACATAAAAACACACACACACACACATATTAAATATCAGAGGAAAGTGTTCAGAGTTTTAGCTGTCTTGCTGTGACTGCCGTTCACCTAATGCTGCATGGGAAACAGGTAATGCCAAGACAAGCTGTGTGTTTGTGCTGCATTGCAGTCAACCACCTTTGGCCTCTTGTGTCATCATTCCTCTCCACAAACACAAGATGGCGCTTTATTCGGTATAGCATTTACATGTAGTTTGAGGTAACCAAAGCTGCTGATTCCAAATGTCAAATGAAACCAACCTTCCAAGCATTCTAAGTGATTTACCATGTGTTTGTAGATTAGGTGCCAGTTGTAAGCCCTGGCATGTGCAGTTATATTTGAACTGTGTAATCTTTGGAAAGTGGGGCATTTGAAAACAGTATCATCTGTCTTTTATTGTAAATCTAACCTAACAGGACTCTTAAAAATATAAACCTACATAATATTAATCAGGAAAGATTTTTAGAGCCTTTACAAAGAAAATCTACATATTAACTGTTTTCTGTTAAGTCTTTTTTTTGGATTTCCCCTAATGAGAATATTACCATATGAAGTAGCAAAGTAGGGCTAATCTGAGGGTTAAAGCATTTGCATCCATATTAGCCTTTTGTCTGATACTACTGACGTGCTAATTATACATTCATTGCTAAATGTAAATGCTTTGTAATTAAAGTACACTTCAATCTAACTCTGAATTTGACTATTTGATAATGCCAAAGTTGTATTAAAAATGAGTTGGTTTGATCAACTGCAGGTCTGCTTCCTCTATTGCATACTATTATTTGTAATTAAAGGGATAATTTACTCACCCTCATATTGTTCCAAATCTGCATGAGTTTCTTTCTTCTGTTGGGACACAAAATAATTTATTTTAAAGAATTTTGGTAACCAGACGGTTGACGGTAGCCAATGACTTGTATAGTAGGAAAAAAGACTATGGAAGTCAATGGCTACCATCAACTGTTTGGTTACCAACATTTTTTAAAATGAATTATTTTGTCTCCAACAGAAGAAAGAAACTCATGTAGGTTTGGAAACAATTAAAGGTGAGTTAATTATGACAGAATTAAAAATTCTGGGTGAATTATCCCTTAATATACTTGTATATACTTTTGTATACTTTCACATATATAATATGTGTGTGTCTGTGTGTACATTAAATTATTAATTTTAGGACCATTGTGTGTTTTTGGTCAGCAGGGTTTCTTTCATTCTTGGCAAAAACAGTACAAATATTTTCCTTTTAATTTGATGTATGAATCAAACAGGTCACGGAAGGGCAACAAAAGTTCTAGACTGTTCTGCCAAAGTGAACTCAATCAGTCTCTAATGGCCCAGCAGTCTCGCTGTCATTGGTGCTCAACTCAGAGAGCTTGTGCTAAGGAAATGTGTCACCAAATGTCTCACATTCTCAGTATCAGTTAGTGGCAGAATCTGGTCTCTGGTTACCCCTGCTTTGGGTAGGGGACAGGGGTGCATGCTCAGCAGCGGCCCCTCCAGCACAACCACCTCCCCCCTCTTGGCTTGCTGTTTTAACGGCCAGCTCTTTAGCCATCTGAGCCCTTATCATCCAACAACTGTGCCTGACAGAGCACTGTTTATTCAGCCAGGGTGAAACATTGAACGGCCTCCGCTGATGGACTGGCCTATCTGTCCTGTTTGTGTGATGAGTGTAGGATGTGTTCATTTTAATTAGAGCTCATCATCTGCACAGTGCACACTGTCTACATGTGTCGTCGGTGCATAAAAGCGTAGAAACAATAATTGGAAAGTTGATTCTCCCGGTGATTAAGATTTAAAAAGAAGTTGACGCTCAATTTAATAACAGTTTTCTGCAATCTATCATTTGAACACCATAAGCCAGGCGGCCAGGCCCAGACATTCCTCATGGGATCAGATAGTGGCACGGACTGTTCTGTTAAAGTTGGCATGAAAGTTGTGATATTTTTTCTTTCCTATTGTGATGTATATCCGAGTGAAACGGCTTCTCGAACAGGAAAAAATGTATGGCTGGACTTGATTTTGTCCATCTGGAATTGATTGGATGATTGTTGTTTGCTCTTGCTGTGATCTCATGTGAATGACAGGTTGTTCCACCAGTAGCCTAAACATTTTGATTTTAATTACTTTGATTAAAGATTACAAGAGCACATACATTTTTATAAAATAATGATATGCACGGATAAATCATTTAGCATATACTGTTATATTCCATAAAAATGTGTCCATTTTGATTTATGGGGACTAAGTATGCCGGAGGAATGGATGGATCAAGGATAGATAGATAGATAGATAGATAGATAGATAGATAGATAGATGAGATGTAATAGAGACGTCGTTTTGTTTTAAAAGGTCATGTTAGAAACTTGTTTTTTAGATGCAAATTCAGGCACTTCCATATATCAAGCCAAATAAGAAAATCAAGAACTTTTCCTTTAAAAAAAAAACGGTCCTTAAAACCTAAATAAAATCACGGATCAGACTCTAAAACGAAGAAGAAAAGAAAATTCCATGCCTTTTTTTTCTCTTCTTTGGTGGTTGACATGAGCTCAATAGGAGGATTTAACCCATCCTCTACACCTCCCGGGTCCGTGCATTGATTCAAGCCTTTCCCTGGATAATTTCAGCACGTCACTGAGTCCTTCCCACAAAGTTGGGAAACAGCGGAGCGTCCGTGAATGCAAGCGGACACACGAGAGCCGCGTCTGGAAGGTAAGACCAGCATATATGTTCTGTATAAGTGATGATATGCTATATTAAAGCTTTACTTTACGTCATTGATGTGGTCGAGCTGAGAGAGGTTTCTAAATGAGTGTTAAACGCAAGAAACTTGTTCATTGAATTAAAAGACTTCCGCTTCCTGCATGATAAGCTCGCGCCGCATAAAATCACTAGAGGAGAACAGCAAACATGTTTGTACCGTTATACAAACACGTGAGACGTATGACTAGCGTTGTTTGCATGAGGTTGATATTTGCTTAATTTTTCTTCTCAGTTATGTCCACAGCATAAACAGTGGGTTTCTTTAGAAGTTTAACTTATAAACCCTGACTCTCATTTAAACTCTCAAACTTCTTGTACTCTGCCTTTCTAATATAACGTTAGTTGTATTGTATGGGGTCCCAAGTGCCATGGTGTTAAACGATTAAACGACTGTTAAACGATTAGAGTCGATTATCTTTCCCCCAAATGAAGCATTTGGTGAGACCCCCGCTGTTTTGACACATGTCTGTGGGGGAGGCAAATAGCCTACTTAAGTATGCCTAGAATGCTGCCTGCTAGACAGCATTTTTGGCGTCATTTGGCATATTCGGCATCTTATGCGCGTTCGGAGTCCCGCTTCATAAACGAATCTCCCGTGGAGTCTAACTTTTTTTCTGAATTATAACTTACTGACTCTTTGAACCATGAACTGTCTCTTTCAACCACGTTCGACTCGCAGCCATCCTCGTTTACAACTCGCCGACTCACCGACCGGAGAACCGCCTATCCGACTCAAAATGATCCAACCCTTTATTGTAATTAAATAGACTTTATTGGAACGTTTTAAAGCATGTAATAAACTAAACAAACATGTCATTTAAAAGTCGATTATGTTATATTTTCAGGTTCAGTTGTTCATTTTTTTTTTATGAACTGAGGCAGCAAATTTGGTCACATTTCCATCCACCAGCACAGTTATGAGTCACTGCTGACAGCTAGACAATATTTATGGGGAGTCTAGACAAGTATTTATTTATAGCAGTCTCTCTTGACATTGTTCGCCTGAAATTTAATAAACAGAAAGTGGCACATTTAAAAGCACATTGCTCAGTGGGAGGGTGGAGTGCATCTCCACTGTTTCTTTTACCAGACAGACAAACACAGAAAGATTTTCCCCCCATTAAGTTTAGCTAAGCATGAAGATGCTTTAGGGCTTGAGATCCAGCACTAACAGGGCTCATCTGCTTCCTCGAGAAATGTTCCTCACCCGAAATTCCCTTGCTAGACCAGCAGCCTACTACTAAGCGTGCCTAATACTACACAAGATCACGCAACCTGCAGAGCCTTTTAAGCTAGGCAAGGTGTTTTGTTTTCTTAATTACACATGCTCCTCTTTCAGCCCTCCAGACTGTATAAGCACCGTTACCACTAGGCATGTTATAGTAGATTTATAGTCAGCGTTTTGGTTGAAAGTTTAATGGTGATCATCTGATTTATTTGAGTGATAATTTGATAACTTTGCATAATAATAATAGTAATAATAACAATAATAATTATTATAATTTTATATTATTATTAATATTATTATTTATGCAGGTAATGACTGGTAGAGAAAAAAATATTTTAATGAAATACTTCTTTTCCCCAATGAAATGATTCTACTATATTTTTATTTAGATAATGTTTTTTTATTTAATATTTTGTATTTTTAGGGGATTTTATGATACTAAATTAGCCTATATGTATGTAGTAGTTATAATCCATTTATTCACTTTTTGATCATGGACCTGAAAATGAAATTTCCAACTTAAACTATCATAAATCTTGAATGCTTTGATGCAACAGACTTAATTTTTTTTTAAGACGACACTTAGCAGATTATTTCTCAAGTGAAAAAAGTTCAAAGTAGTGAACTTGAAAAAAGTTATACTATTTTACTTTTATTGTTGTAAAAAATACCATTTTCAAATTTTATGATATATATATATATATTTTCCAAAACACGTTAAAACTGTGAGAAAATCTAAATAAATCTAAACAAGCTGTGTGCAATTTGAGGTTGATATCTCAAAAGATGCGATTTCAGTAAGATTTTGTTTGGGAGCTGTACCAAACGTTTCCAATAGATGAAATTCGTCTCCCGTTAATTTCCAATGCGGTCATTTTTTGACTGCAAACAATTCAAGTGTGACTATTTTTTTCAGGACCATTTAACCTTTTCAAATCATGTCCATGATTTTTTTTTTGTGTTCACACAGCAAGTGCCAAAACCTTTACCAAGTTTCGTACCATCCCGATGAAGTAAAGTAAAGTAAAAATAAATAAAAAAACATTTTGACAAATTTTTTTTTGGCTCAAAAATGACCAAACAGCACCAAAGGGTTATTATTATTATTATTGTTATTATGCATAGTTATTAATATAATGGCTGCAAGAGAGAGAGAGAATATATATATATATATATATATATATATATATATATATATAATTATTATTATAAAAAATTTTTAACTCATGGCTGGCCAAATAGTCTGCTTCAGAAACAAGATTATTTGTTGAGCCTTTTGCATATTTGTCTGTCCTCAGTATACTTAGCCAGTATTAGTTACCCTGTTCTAGTTACCCATTATTGTCTTTCATTAGACGAGAAACGGTTGACATCTGGAATTTAAGTTGCTGTAACTCACCTAGTAACTCAACTAGTTGGTGGTACTCAAATTGTCGTTAAAAGACACAAACGCATTCCAGAAAGCCTCCCTTTGCCTCAAGGTCAGCGTTTACACCGCTAACCTGTAATACTGAGCTATTGCCAGCTGGCTTAAGGTGAATGATGTCTCCATGTCTGCACCAAAGGGCCAAGTTTGCAAGATTCGGATGGCTGCCTACCAAGCAGCTTTGGAAAGTCACCTTCCATCCTCTTGGCTTGGTTTATTCCTTTCAAGTTGTTCATTCCTTTAATGTTTGCTGGACTGGATTTCAGTAAATAATCGGAGCTGCCAACTAAGACCAGACTGAGCAAGTGATGTCTGCTTGAGTTGGAAAATGAAATGTATACTCCGATTGATGTGGTGTATTCTAAGGACTACAAGACAATGGTGGTGAATGCAGATTTTGTGATGAAAACACTTTGTAGCCTATTGCATGCCTTAGGCAGTGCGGTTCAAATGGTTTTATTTGCCCATCATCCTAAGATTGCCGACAAACCCATATGACCCATCTTGTGTAAAGAATCAAGAATGATTTCAAGTCCATTCATTCATATTTAGCTTTTTTTAGTCATGCCAACCTCACACTTGTAGAATAAGATGACAAAAGTGATGAAAGCCACTGAGTATACCCACAGAGTATGTGGGAACACTGTGTTTCACTGCCGCTTTACCTGCTGTTTTTTTGTCCCTCTGCGAGAGTGCGAGTCTGCGTACATGGTCTCAAAGAACTTTCATTACAAAGAACTGGGGAGTTGCAGCCTTGTAGATGGGATATTTTTGGCATCCTTTAAAAAGATGATGTTTGGTGTAGTCGCAACAACTGACAAGAAAGTATGACTACTTTTTTGTATGTGCTTGAACAAATTGCCTAAAAGATGATAGTAATGCTTGACATTGTTTTTCAGCAAAAGTTCAACATAAATGTTGTTATTTGTGGCTTGATTCTGCCAAAAATCTTCATTTCTGGACCCTGCACAAGACAGACTGATATTCTTAAGGCAATGCAATCTAGGTCTTTCCATTGTTTCAACTGTTTATGTCTTTGGTTATGAAGAAAATTTAGTCGAGGTTTGCAAGCCTATCATCATGAATGCTTTCCTAGGGCTTTTAAAAGCTGCATTTAAGGATTTGTTTGTAAGTTAGAACTGTTTAATGTGCCTCTGCCGCTCATCAGCAACGTGGCTGCTAGACATTCTGCATCTTAAACGTCCATTTTGTGCATAATTCAATTTAGAACCCTCTCAGAGTGTTTTCATGGAGGCCTCATTACGGGTAGCAAAAAAAGCAACCACAAATTTAATGTCTGCAGTGGAGGCTCCAAAGCTAAGCTTTTTTTTCTAATAGCAAGAAATACTTTTATGCAGAGTATCAGGTCAAAATCACAATGGTGTACATGGGGCCCTGAGGATAGGATAAATGAGACTTTTCTTGAAGCATTTTCCCAGAGTGATAATGCCAGATGTTGGTAGAGAAAAGCCACATTGACTGAAGTGTGGGAGAACAGCCTCGTATATAAACACGGATGCTTCGGTTGAATAAACAGATTCTGTATTTGCCAGGAAACCCCAAGATACGAAAAAAGGAAGGGGATGAAATGAATGTTTATGATTTACTGTCCTTTCAAGTAAGTCAATGTCTGGGCGACAGTGAGAAATATGGGTTGGGGGAGAAGGTCTCTTTCATGTAGTGAAAAGGATAGAAGAAGACCTTTGATATTTGAGATGCACTGAACTCTTTGAAAAGATAAACTGTGATTTAAGTCAGTATGGCCATGCGCTTTGATGATCATTTCAGCTTGGCTATTGTTGCGTCATAAATGTTTTTTTGGTGAAGCGTCTCTGCGTTTTGTTGATTCAGTGAATGTTTGAGAGCCTTATGTGTGTCTTTTTGAATGTACACATCCACACCCAAAGTTATATTCCAGTGTCTTTTCATCTGGAAATTCTACATGAAAAGAACTTTGCACTGTAAGTGCAGCTGTTTCCAAAACAATGACATTATCGTCTACAAGAATAGACCAGGTGAGTTTAAAGAGGTGCAGGCAGTAAAAAGTCAATCCCTGGTTATGGATGGGCACGTAAACATAGAAAGAGCTCCTGAATGATTGTAATTTCCCTGTTTCCAAATTGCGTCTCCTGCATGACGGAATTTTCCACTCGGGAATGGCTGCAAGGCTGCGCCTGCTACTGTGGCACCATTTGTTCCATTCCCTGTTGAAACTTCATATAATTTTGGGATTTTCTGATTATACAAATTCTTTTTGAAATAGGAGGAGCAACAAACTTTGGTTAGGCTACTGTCTACAGCATCTTGAAAGGGTTAGGGTATGGTTTCTTTTCGTACCTGTTTTACTGTGACTCATTTGGTGAATGTCTATATCCTTACATGACTCACATGGAACTTCAAATTATAGAGGTACTGACTATTGACCATGGTTAAGGTCAATCATTCTGTTGTCAGACTGACGGACAAATGACCAGTGACAAACAAGCGCAACCAGTGTAATTCTTGAACAAATGATTATTGTGAGCCGGTTCAGCGCAATCATTGTAGCCTGAAGGATGAATCCCAAACAAATGACTCTTATGAGTCTGTTCTTTTTATCCAGTGTAGTCTGATTCCTGAACAAACGCCTCTAGTGAGCTGGTTCTTTTTCTGAAGCAAATACATACAACATGATTTGTGCAGTCGGATTTCCGAACGAATTAATCCAATGAGTCAGTTCTTTTTATCAATGAAACACATACAGCTTACAATTTAGAGAATTAAATGTACTTAAAGTACAAGAATTGTTAATTAATCTGTTAAAGAAAGGGAACCAGACTTGTTAATTTCTTTACTATTACTATTCCTACTGTTTCTTTCTTTCCACATAATAAAATAATTTTAACTAAAATATTTATTTATTTTAGTTATTTAGTTAGTTTTAGTTAGTAAGCAGCCATATAATAACCAGGATAATGCAAGATAATGCACCCTTCAGGGTGATAAAAGGTGATACTGTTCTTTTGAGCTGACCAACAGTCACTGGCAGTATTTATTCCTTACTTCTTTTACTCATACTTAATACCCAACAGATCGAATGATTCATAGTCATAAACAGTCCTGAGGGCTGTTTTCTCAGGAACTGGGAGTGCATGTTGTCTTCCTAGAAAATTTCATCATTCCTTCTGCTCACATAATCACTATTTAATGAACCAAAGATAGATGTCAATAAACGCAGTCATCGCAATAAGGACTGATCCATAGCGAGGAGTGTTGGCACTCAGCCAAAGATGTACAACAGACAATCCCAGTCACAGGTTTGCTTTAAGGTTCGCTTGATCGACAATACTGATGACATTTTACATTTGTTTCATATACCATCCCACAATAACTGTAGCTGTTCGTTGTAGCTACATTGATTCATACATCTTAGCTTAAAGACAGTCTAATGTCGTTCCAAATCAGTATGACTTTCTTCTGTGAAAAATGTCTCAGCATGTTTGTGTCTGTACAATGAATGTAAATGGGGTCCAAATTTGTTTTGGACTCAATTGACTTTCACTGTACATACAAAAGGAGTTAACATTCAAAGTGCTTTAGAGTACGGATTAGCATAAGGGTACGTTTTGGTGTTGAGGTAATGTTGGGGAGGGTTATAGAAGATTTTGGCCTCGGGGTTGGGAGGTAGAGGTGTGAGAAAGGTCTGTCCGTATGTGCAGTTTAACCTGATCTGGGCCATTATTGCAGGGTTTTTTGGGCTGGGAAATGAGATGAATAAGGGGGTAGGTGGGTGGGCTGGACAAGAGGAGGGTAGAGAGAATAAAGTCCTGAGGTGGAACTGATATGAATCTGTTCTTTGTTTCGTATCAGCGTTGGGCTGCTGTGCTGGGGGCCATATTTAGTGTTGTTTGGGGCCTGAGATGACAGGATTTTGGTGTCTAAGAAGAGGATTTCTGCCCCATACAGGGGGTTTTCCATCACACACAGGTCAGGGCAAAGAAGAAAGACCTTTATAATGGGAGAATAAGGGTGAGAATGAGTTTAAAGGCAGAAAGAATTGTGTACTGTTTGGTAAGGTTTCTGAATTTTTGTATGTCCAAAACTCTTTCGTTATTCATATTGCCTTCGAGCAAATTGTGCATGCTGTGAGAGAAATGTGTGTAATCTGGCTGCTTTGAAAGTACAAAGGTGATGAAGTCATGCTTTAGCTATACCTATAGAAGAATTCCAATGTTTGGTATTTGCTAAGGCCATGAATGTTGATGAAACCTGCAATGCTTCACATACTTCTACATTTTTCCTCTTCATTTATATTTTAAAATAATATGCACATTAGTACTATTTATTTAATAAGTACAGTGAAGGAATAACATAGTTGTGACATAATGTAATGATATTCCATTTCTTAAGTTTTGACTGGGGGGATCAACTCACAATTTAGCTAGTCTGACTAGTCTTCAGCTAGCTGATTTGAAGTCCTTCCTTTCCAGGACTTTCCGGTAATTTCATAGCACTCCATTAGAGAGGATCACCGCTTGCATTTTTGTGTCTCTCAGGTCATCGGCAGCCCACATTCCTCTCTCTTTTGACCTGATAAGTGTCTTTCTGTATCAGATAGCTGAGCGCTCCTCTCCCGGGAGCTGCATAAAGCCTGAGTGTGAACAGCCTCTACAGATTGTGTGTCTGCACCTGAACCTGATACCATTGGGTGAGAAAGTGTGGGATCTTACAGTTCAGAGAAGGCAACTTCTCGCTTTTGCAATGCATTGCTAGCTGGGCGAAGTAGCAGTAAAATTATATCCCAATATTATCAACCCTTTGATGATATTGAGTATATCTCTCTTATCATGTAGGCCTATTGATTTGTTCTAAAATGAATTGATTAAATTTTTTCCAGAAGAACCATTATTCCAGTGGATTCAAAGCATTTCATTTCGAAAGTAAAAGTACAGTAAAAATCTATTTCAAAATAATCAGGTGTGTTTTCTGCTCTGTTTTCACTAAATTAACAAAAACAATTATACTTATTTTTTCTTTTATATGCATACATTTAATAGTGAATAGAAATAAACAGTAATATTTACTTATGTTTTACTAAAACATTTTACTACATGAAAAATGCTTCCTGGGGACTGAACAGTTTTGAGTTGACCAACATTGAATCAGATTTCAGAATTGATTATATTTTTGACTATATGAACGGAATTACGGAAATGAATCATTGTGATATTCTGCATTTTCTGTAAAGCTGCTTTGAAACAATATATTGTGAAAAGCGCTATACAAATAAATTTGATTTGAATTGAATTGAACATTGATACTTAATTTCATATCACCAGCAAATAGGTATACCATCACAATAATTTCTGTAATGTCAGACAAGTACATTTTTGAGTAATTAAATTACTATTTTCTATTTCTATTAATTAGGGGTCAGGGTGTAACAGTTTTCGGTAAAAAATCGAACCAAACTGTTCTACACCCAAAGTTCGGCATGCACTTGCACCACGGTTAATCTCAAATCTGACGAGGCATCTATAATGACGCGTAAAACAGAGTTCTGCCAATGTATGCTTCTGTCGGTGCATGCGCTGTCCAATCATGCGCTGTTAATGTGTCAATCTATTTCTGACATAAAGGCCCAAGTACTTAATTTTCCTCATTCTGCTCCAGCTCGTGCAAAGTTGAGCATGAAAGCTTTTCAAAGTATACTATATTGGCCATGAGTGCTGAAAGATGCTTTCAAGTGGACTTTGTATTCAAGCACTCAAGTTTCTCGCACATGGGCTGTTGTATGTGCACCCTCCTAATTACATAAATTGCATATTAAGTATTAATATTACTAAAGTTACTTATAATTAAGTAACTGAACCTTGAGTATTTCGAACCATTACACACCTACCTTCTCATTTGAACAAATAACTACATTGCTGTAATATTTGGTGTTTAATCCAGATGTTTTTCATAAAACAACTTGAGAACAAACTGTCAAACTGCTCTGTGTCTTTGAGGGAAGGTTTATCATATGATCGGGCCGAGTGCCGAGGTCAGGGGTCGCTCTAACGGATGCTAGGAAAAGATTAATGCCTTCAGGTCATGCCATTGTCGTTAAGACAAGAATTACGCCAAGACCGTCCCTACAATCAAGACCAGGATTCATCAAGGTGGAGTCCCAGACAAAGTCCGAGATTTTAAGTCGACTGCTAGCTTGTCTACGTGGAATGTTAATTGTGGGATTAGAGCTCCAGCTTCGCCTCGGTCTCATCTCACTTTCAGCCAAACCACTGTTAAACATCTGAGGTTTTTGGTTTGACGTCCGCTGTTGCTTGTGGTTCTGATGTCACTCTGGAGAAATGTTCTCCTCGGCTTTAAGTTCAGACACTCGTGCTGTTGTTAAGGGTGTTTCTAAGACTTGATAAAAGCTTAACTGAAAGGGCTTGGTTCCTCAGTATATCAAGTTACTAACATTGGCTCAATGTTCACAAAGCCTGTTTTGTATGGTAATAATGCCCTTCAGAGCCATTAAAGCTTATCTGCAGGGACAGAGGGGGTTGCAATATTGAATAGGTCTGGGATTGTGGTGTACGAGAGGAGCAATGGTGGTGTCAAAAGATCCTTAACCTGCTATGCAGTGCTCAAACCATTTCAGATCAGGTGCTTAGAGCATGTTTACAAGAAACGTGCATTTCGGTGATCAGTAGACATGATGAAATGGTTTTGGAGATGTAAAAATGGGGCCATTATTCTGACTGAATGACCCAGTGCCTTTGCTTAGCGTGATTCATGTCACGGTAAAGGCACGCCAGGTTTAAAGCAAACACATGTGGCTTTCATTTGACACATAATTTAAGGCACGTCAAACATGCTGCTAAATTCTATACGGTAGCTCCGCTTATAACATCCAGCTTCCCCTGTGTCTCTGAACCATGATACCACTGGAACGATAACACTTTTAAAGCCCTTTGAGTGACACATCTCCTTGAATTGTCACTTTTCATTATGTCAAATTCTCCCCTTGGTAACAAGGGTCTGAAATTAACTCGAGTAACACAATCCTTCATGCTGTCCTTAGTTTGCAGTGCTTAAAAGGAATGTTCCATGGCGAAGCCTTATGTTAATAACCAAAGCAAATAAAAAGAGCTACAGGGCTTTCCTGTATTCAAACAGTAGAGCGTTGGCGCTTGCAACGCCAAGGTCATGAGTTCGATTCCCAGGGAAAGCAAGAACTGATAAGAATGTAAATGTGTACCTTGAAATGGAATGTAAGTCGCTTTGGATAAAAGCGTCTGCCAAATGCATAAATGTAAATGTAAATAACTTGGACTCGAATTTAAAGAAAATTCATTATTTTAAAGAACAATTGGTAAGACTTTACAATAAGGTTTTATTTGTTAACATTGGCTAACTACATTACATAAACTGACAGTGTAAATTACATCTAAAGCATTTATTAATCTTAGTAAATGTTAATTTCAACATTTTATTCAATGGACCTGAACTAACATGAACTAAGAATGAACACTTTGTATTTTTTTATTAACTAACATTACCAAAGATTAACAGATACTGTAACAAATGTATTGCTTATGTTAACTAATGGAACCTTATTGTCAAGTGTTACCGGAATTTTTTAAGTTAAAAGTAGAAATGTGAAGCTCATATTTATGTTTCGGCTCTTGAATTAATTATTCAGTAAAAAGAGTTAGTTTTGGATTTATATGTTGTCTAGATCATTTTTTTTGAGCTGAAAAATACTTTTAAAGTAAATGTATCTAGTTATGCATTACCGACATAATTAGCCTACTGTGAAGTATGCGTCAGTAATTTGTTGGATAGGTACATCACGTGTCATATAAACGTGACCTGGTTTAACAGCTTTACATGGTCGTCGAAGTAGAATAATTGGATTTAGATGTACTCATAAGGTCAGTTATAATGGTACATTAGTCTTGAAATTTTTTTTAACAATATTGAATGATGAATGACTTTTTTTTTAGAGTCGTTGAGTGATTTATTCATAAACATTGATGCATTTACACGTGATGTATTTTTGAGGGAGTCATTGAATCAACTCAGCTGATTCATTCAAGATACCAATTCATTCAGGGAAAAAAATACCACTACTGTGCGGAACAAACAAGAACTATGTGCAGAACAATAGAGGCACAAACAAAATAACACAATATTGTGCCTAAAATTCATGTTACTCAATTTCAACTTCCTTTTTATTGATTTATTTTATGAAACAATCTGACATTTTACTGTTTGTATCATTCCCCTGGTCTGTTTGGATGTCCTAAACAGATTATCAGTCTGCGTATTATTTGTAGGGATTTTTTTTAGCGACTCTTTCTGCAAGTTACATCGATTTTCCCCCCATTCAACAAGTGTCTTTGAAGCATTTGATAAACCTATTTGTTCAAAAGCACTGATCCATTCAGAACCAAAGCAAGTGATGTCTTTGTGAGTGAGTCATTGAATCAAACTGATTTATTCGAAACTGATTCAATTAGGAAAGAAACACAGCTAACTGTCCGCAACAACAATGGCAAGGATAACAAAATAACCTGCAAAAATGCTAGTTACTTAATGCTAGTTACTTTACTGAATTGTTGAATAAAAACAGAACCAGACTTAATAAATAATACTTATGTCACAAATGCTGTTGACTGAGTTGAACTAAAAACAGACCATATCAGAACTATAGGAGATGGTGGGATAATTCAACACATCTACATCAGAAAAGTCAATTAACTACGACTACGGCATTAATGTGCCTCTCTTTTGTAATAAGTCGTCAATAAGGATGACCTATAGGGCTAGAGGAGGGGGAAGTTGTAATGGGATGGGTGAAAAGCAGGGGGTTGTCTTGTCATTGGGACAGCAGGGTGGAGCTCCTACAGAGATGGACTGGGATAGACCCCTGATGGGCTCCTTTCAGGACTGAAGGAATGGGTGTGAAATGGTTGCGTCTGTGGAGCCCCATTTTGTCATATGCTTTGTGCAAGTATTGTGGTTGTTTTTTCTTTGACCATCCATTAATGGACCATATGATGAAATCGTTATTAGATATTTCACAAATTCACACAATCTCGAGCCATTAATGCAGAAATGGTCACTTTTTGGTGGTGCAAGACGTTTAGACTTCACTAGATTTGGATTAAACATATTTAATTAATTTCCTTGATTATTTGAATGCTTAAAATAAGTCCACTATGAGGCATAATACAATAATGAAATACAGAATGCAAATTAAGTCTTTGTTATATATTTGGTTTGTTTTGGTCTCTTGACTATAGTCCTATTTAAAAACCTGTTTAATGAAGCTGTTTAATGCAAAAGGAACTTGTATATTTGAACCATTTCAGCAAAGTTTCTTATAGATTCTTTAAATGAAGATGATTACGCTTTCTGTCTGCCAATGTTGAGCAGATGGCTCACATGGATGGAGGAATGTAACACCAAATATGAATTTAGCACCTGGTTGTTTTTCATCCTCCTGAAAGGTGGCGGCTGCTCTGAGTGTTCTCACACATGTCTCATAATCAGATGGCAGGGTGACAGTCATCTTTCAGAACCAGAGACGCAAAACTCGCCACCGCTCATGGTTTAATATCTGAGCTCAGGAAGAGCTTGATGTAATCTAGAGAGAGTCTCAGCACTTTAACCATTATCGAGAGCAATTTGGAAGCGAATCAAGTTACCTGAAGTGCTTGGAGAGAAGTAAGTGATAGAATATTATTTGTTCTTGTTGAAATACTGTTTTTAGTCTTTTTTCTAGTGCGCTTTGCCTCTTATTCAAGTTCTAACAACATTCATTTGCATTTGAAAAGCAAATAGCTTCTCTCTACAAGGTCAGAATGTGAAAAGCCTTGTTGGAAGTTTCTTGTCATTTTGAGGGAAGACGTCCTTCACCTGATTGACATATCGTGCCCAGTAGAGTTGTGGGAGGAAATGATATTCGGAGAGGGAGTGCGTTGGTGTTGTATTTCGTATAGGAGATGCTTTGTTTGTACATGCATGGAGAAGAACGCCGGGTTGTGGATGAAGTTGGTGTGTGTGGAAATAAATATTGTAGCTAGCTAGCTGATTTGATTAGGCTATATAAATTAACAGCTTGGCATAAAAGAAAGGGTTGCAACTAATGATTATTTTGATAATCAACTAATCTAATTAGGATTTATTGACTATTCAGGTGATTAATGAAACAATCAACAGATTTTAAGTCTTTTTTTAAGTCAAGATTACAAGATGAAGTATCCATCTTTTGAAAATACTTTTAATAAACCTATTAATAATTATGGCCAACCTACTTCAACAAAAAAAAGTAACTTTTTCACATTTTTGTTTCCTTAAAAAGGTTAAAATATGTATTCCTAAAATTATTAAAATCTTAAAAAGCAATATAATTTTTTTAAATATAATTTAAATATAATATAATAAATATATATATATATACTTTTAGATATACTTATATTTTTATTTAAAATAGTGCTATCTTTATTATCAGTAGCCTAACTTTTGCATTGGAAGCCCTAATCATGTTTTGGTGAATCATGTAAAAGTCATATAATTATGAATTATAAGTCAAAAGTATGGCATACTAAGTTATAATTATGACATAAAAGGTCAAATTTATGACAGTCAACATTGACAAAAAGTAAAAATTGACAAATTCATAGTTATGACTTTTTATATATCACTTAGTATTTCATAATTTCATAATTATGATTTACCATGACTGAACAGAAGTACAGTAACTTTCCAATAACATATTGTCTATTATTCTGTATTTTCACATAAATTGCTTATAGTATTTGACATTTAGAATGTAAATACATTTTGCCACTCCTATGAGCAAATCTCAAGCTATAGATTAGTTTGCTGAGTATTTATATTTGTTTGCTGAGTAATTAGCAGGATAGATTTGAACCTGAATCCATATCACGGCATGGATGGCTCTGTGAATTTGTTTTCTAATAATCAAATTTAGTTTAATTACTTGTAAACTTCAGTTCAGACTCCTAGACTTGAATATTCAAGTCAACAACCATCACAGTGTGTCTCACTGGAATGTTCCAGAATAAGCATGAGTGACCTGCTGAGGAAAACAAACCCTGATATTAGTCATAAAAAATTCATAATTGCACAATCTCCCCCGGTGAACGAAAAGCAGCCACAGATTAACGCTCTCAATGCTCAGTTCTCCACTGGAAGCAGTAAAAATCCAACTCATTAATGTTGCTTTTCATGAACAAAGGCTGCTAATTAGAGGTGGCAACTGCATTGAGGAACTGAGTGAACGAGCTAATGACAGAGAGCGTAATAATAATAATAATAATAATTCATTACATTTATATAGCGCTTTTCTAGGCACTCAAAGCGCTTCACATGGAAGGGGGAATCTCCTCAACCACCACCAATGTGCAGCATCCACTTGGATGATGCGACGGCAGCCATAGTGCGCCAGAACGCTCACCACACACCAGCTTACTGGTGGAGAGGAGACAGAGTGATGAAGCCAATCAGTGTATATATATATATGGGGATGATTAGGAGGCCATGATGGACAGAGGCCACTGGGCAAATTTGGCCAGGATGCCGGGGTTACACCCCTACTCTTTCGAAAGACATCCTGGGATTTTTAATGACCACAGAGAGTCAGGACCTCGGTTTAACGTCTCATCCGAAGGACGGTGCTCTTTGACAGTATAGTGTCCCCGTCACTACACTGGGGCGTTAGGACCCACACAGACCACAGGTGAGCACCCCCTGCTGGCCTCACTAACACCTCTTCCAGCAGCAACCTGGTTTTCTCAGAAGGTCTCCCATCCAGGTACTAACCAGGCTCAGCCCTGCTTAGCTTCAGTGGGCAACCAGTCTTGGGCTACAGGGTGATATGGCTGCTGCGTAGGGAAGGCGGCCCTCAGACAGGGTGACCTTAGTGTGGCCTGCGGGTGAAGAATGGGGAGAAAAACCTCCGCAGGAACGTGTTTCATACTGTCCATCACACAAATGGATCATGCAAACCTTTTGTTTCGTTTAAAAGACGCTTAAAATTCAGTAAGATTGTTGATTTGATGACACTGACAATATTGGATGAGAACAAAACGCGAGCTGAAAAATTACACTATTGTCTTCTGTAGAGCTGCTTATAGCTGAAATTTAACTCGTTTTATAATTGATGATATTTACAGTTATTGAACTGAACTGAATCAACAATGAACTGACTTGAGCTGAATAACGACTCTATTGTCTTCTGTAGAGCTGCTTATAACAGAATTGAACTTGTTTCATAATTGAACTTTACACAGTTATTGAACTGAACTGAATCAACAATGAACTGACTTGAGTTCAATAATGACACTATTGTCTTTTTACAGCAGAATTTTAATTTGTCTCATATTTGATGGTTTCCATCATTTATTCTGTTTATTACAAGCTGCTTTGAAACGATCTGTATTTTATAAAGAGCTATATAAATAAAGTTGACTTCACTCTTCCTTTTAGATCAAGAATGCTGAAGACACGATGGATCCCCTAGTTCATCTGAGCCCGTTGAGAGTCCGCATCTCTGCTCTCCCGCACCACACGCGCCCACCTCGTCCCTGGGCACCCAAGCCTGTGCCGTTTTCCTTCTCCAGCAAGCTTCAGTAGACTTTTCACACCGACACACGGGAGAAAGGTAAACCCTTCCTGTGTAAATATGACTGGATGGAGGTCTCAGTGGCGTCTGGTCCTACTGAACTCGCTGACATGTGGCCTGGAGATCTGCGTGGCAGCTGGGATCACCTACGTGCCGCCTCTGCTGCTGGAAGCTGGCGTGGAGGAACAGTATATGACGATGGTTTTAGGTAAGGCTTCATCTTAACTGTGGAATGTCAATCCAATGTTTAAACCAAGGGCTGCGCTGTATATAGCAAGTCAAGGTTGTTTCCCATTAAGGAGTTGATCCTATAATGGGGGTCATTATCATAATTACTGGCTAAATCACTCGCTGCCTCATCCAGGTGGTAATCGGGTGCTAATTGGAAGGCACCGGGCTGCAGGAAGAGGCCCAGAGGCTCTAGGGGTCAGCAGCTGTATGGATGCTTGTATAGTTTTACTGCATCCTGTTAAAATTCTGTAGGACTTTCCTCTGGACTTTCAGCAGATAATATAGTCATCATGGGCTGCCCCAGAGTCAGTCGAATGAGTTATTTAAATGCGCACATTTTCCATTTCTCCTAATTCTTGAGATGCATTTTCAAAAATGTCACTTTGGTAATCAATTGGAACCTTTTAAAAAAACAAGTAGATGAAGCTCTACTCTTCAGTGGTCTTTATTTTATTTTTTTGAGCCATGCTTTTTAAATAAAAAAAATATAATATATTAATAAAAAATATAGATTATATATATATTATATAAATAATTATTATTAGTTTAAATCTTTATACACTACCGTTCAAAAGTTTGGGTCAGTAAATATTTTTTGGATGCTTTTATTCAGCAAGGATGTCATTAAATAGATCAAATGTGACTAAATACATTATTCTGTGTGTATATACAGATTTTTTTCCCTCTTTTTGAAAGAAATTAATACTTTTATTATCAAGGACGCATCGATTGGTCAAAAGTAAAGACATTTATAATGTTATAAAAGATATAAATTTCAAATAAATGCTGTTCTTTTGAACTTTCTATTCATTCAAAAAATCCTGAAAAAAATATATTGGTTTCCAAAAATATTAAGAAACTGATTTTAACATTGATATTAATAAGAAATGTTTCTTGAGCAGCAAATCAGCATATTAGAATGATTTCTGAAGAATCATGTGACATTGAAGACTGGAGTAACCACAAGGAGTAAATTACATTTCAAAATAAATTAAACTAGATAACCGTTATCTTAACTGTTAATTAAATTAGATAACTGTTATATTAATTTGTAATAATATTTCACAATATTACAGTTTTTACTGTATTTTTGATCAAATAATTGCAACCTTGATGAGTCAAAGAGATGTTTTTAAAAAACAATGAAAACTTTTTTAACAGTATTGTATGTAATATATTAATTACAAATATTTGTATCTATTTTTATAATATATAATATATTCATTTTTTAGATGTACTACTCGGCCATGGCGTGGAACAATTTAATTTGTGTCAAGAGAATCATGTGTTTTTGTCCACTAGAGACAGTGTCCAGGAGAAATTTGTTTAAATACAGCGAGGTGCGTGATTGTTTTTGTTCTTTTTGTCCTAGAACAACCAGACCTACAAGTCTAAATATTTGGCCTCTGTGTTTGAGATTTTTCAACGTGCCATATGCATTACAGATGCATTATTTTGTGCCCACAAATGGCTTCCACATGGCTTTTGCTGTAAATGAATCTCTCTCCAAGACTATTAGCCTTGCAACCAAAACAGAAGGAAAGCAGTTCACAAACGTGCATGTGGTTACTTCACACCAGACAGACAGAAGATATTTGGTGTGTTAATACATACTCCACACCGCTCTCTTTGTCAACAGCTGCAGTGGAAAGCAAAGAAAGATCCTTTGTGCTCATTTCCATTCACAAGCTTTATAAACTTATAATGTCGTTGTCATTAAGTGCTTTCAAAACCACCAAAAGGCCATTGCTGCTCATTTGGAGAAATTTCATGTGTGGTTGTATGTGATTCCAGAGGTTTTGCTGAACTGGTTCTTAACGAAGTGGGTTTTGGAGGCATTTTATTAATTTTCTTGTTATGGTGACCTGAGAAATACATGCCTTAGTCTGAGCTTTTTGGACCAGTTTAATGGTCATGTGTTCAGTTGTTTTGAGACCTCTTTTTAAACTAACAGTGCATTAAATGTGTACATTTTTCTCTTGAAATTAAACCCATGACCTTGCTGTTGTTAAAGCCACGCTTTTCCATTTGAGCTACAGGAACAATTAGAATGACTATAATGAATTGCACTGTGTAGTATATAAAAGAGTAACGTGATTAATTGTCTCAAACTGTCGCAAACAGCACAAAGGCACCTTTAAAAGGAAGCCCACTCGCCCTCCACTTTGGGAAAAACAGCATGTGTTGACTTACAGACACTGTTGACCGACATTGTTAAATAAACCTTTTTATAGGCACTTTCCTTGGCTGTTTCACTTCCATGGTTTCTCTTCGACTGTATTCCTCACATGGTTTGTCAATACCTGCTCAATGCCTTAAAAAGTGGTTGGCTTAAAATGTGGTGTAATATTCCTCACCTGCTTCCACTTTCCGCTTTAAATGGAAATGTTCTCTTGCGGAAATGTGATGTGTGTGAGTTTCACTTATTTGCAAACGTTATAATCACCATGACTCACCATAAAATTACACTGCCGTTCAAAATTTGAGGTCAGTAAGATAAAAAAAAAGAAAAAAGAATTAATACTTTTTTCCGCAAGAACACGTTAAATTGATCAAATGTGACAGTAAATACATTTATAGATAGATTTCTATTTCAAATAAATGTTCTATTCATCAGAGAATCCTGAAAAAATTTTTCATGAGCAGGAAATCAGCATATTAGAATGATTTCTGAAGGATCATGTGACACTGAAGACTGGAGTAATGATGCTTGTTGACAAATTCAGCAGGAATAAATTACATTTATATGGTCAATTAAGTTGTGGTAACATTTCACAATATTACTGTTTTTACTGTATTTTTGATCAAATAAATGCAGCCTTGGTGAGCATAAGAAACTTCTTTCAAAAATCTTAAGGACCCCAAACTTTTGATCACTAGTGTATATATGAATTTTAGAGTACACTGTTAAAAAAGTCCAGTTGAATTTGTTTCAGGCATTTTGGTGTCTGTAGACTTTACACATATATTAACATGCACATCATAAAATCAAATAAAAAACACCATACAGATTATAACAATAACAAAAATAGTAAGAAACAAAACTATTTAGGCATAAATAAGGGATAACCAAATGCAAACCATCATGCAAAGACGTCTGGGAATGTCCTTTTAGTTTTTTTCATGCGTTATTCAAGTATGTGTTTTGTAAATTCTAAGGTCATTTGTACTTAATTAAAACTTAACTTAATTTTAATTTACAGTAGTCATTTTATTTAGTAATGCATTGTCCTGTTAAATGTAATATAATTTGTCAATTAGTTCTTAGATTTTTACATTGCTTTATCATTAAACTAGCTAACATTTTTACAGTGTGCAGTGTGTAAATGGACTCTTAACTTTTAATTGCATGTTCAGGGCATCTTTGCACCACGCACTTGAATAAAAATAGCTCCTGAAGATCGAGACATGAATCAAAATGGGAATCTGTGCCAAATCAGTGGAGTGAGTCATCTTGAGTCATCCATATAGGGGTGGTGATGGCGCAGTGGATAAGACACATGCCTTTGGTGTGAGAGACCTGGGTTCGAATCCACTGTGAGACACCAATGTGTCCCTGAGCAAGACACTTAACCCCTAGTTGCTCCAGAGGCGTGCGACCTTCTGACATATATAGCAATTGTAAGTCGCTTTGGATAAAAGCGTCAGCTAAATGAATAAATGTAAATGTAAAAATGTAAATCTTCTTTAATTAGAAAAGCTGTGACGAGGAAGCTGGGCCAGAGATTGGTCACCTTAAACTACAGGCAGCTTTAGCAGGCTTAAGACCAAGCCCAGAGATGAAGGAATGGAGGCCACAGCTGTGTTGTTTCCAGTGACTATTTCTCTTTTAGTTGAAGGCGAGAAACTGCAGGCAAATCATTATTTTTTCATGCACTGGTCAATTGTGAGATTTTGGGCTATTTGGCTTTTCATAAGAGGTTTCAAAAGGTTTTTTTTTGTTTGTGTTTTGCAGTGATTCCGTTTTTAGATCCCCCAATGAACCGTTTAGTTAACACTTCTTAAAAAACTTTTTTTTTTTAGTGTGAAGAACTTTTTTAAAATATAAAGAAACTTTTATGCATTGAAAAGGTTCCATGGATGTTAAATGTTCTTAATTGAACAATCAATGCCAATTAAGAACCTTTATTTTTAAGAGTGTAATGGAAAGAAAATTGACACAAATTGACTTTAAAGTTTTTTTTATTCTACTTCATCTATTTTGCATCTGTAGATTTCAATTACACTACATATCTTTAAAAGCCATTTCTCAAAAATGAGTTGTTTTGCTCATGTACAGAGCCAGAAATCTCCAATTCAGTAGCACTTATACCAAACTTTTACAGTTGTATTCCTATCTACATTCTGATGGTTTTACATAGGGGGTTGTTCATATATAATTCCGGTACTTTTTATTCCTAAAAACATGGTGAAAATGTATTTGGTTTTAAACCTGGTTTTATCCAATGCTCAGATTTCTGTTCTGGAAATATTCACCTTGGGTGTCTTGCTTTAATACTCATATGACATTTTTTTAGGTATTGGACCTGTTCTGGGACTTCTCTTCATCCCCCTGATTGGCTCAGCCAGCGATCACTGCAACAGTAGCTACGGCCGGCGTCGACCCTTCATATGGCTGCTGTCGTTGGGAGTTCTCATAGCCCTTTTGATCATACCACATGCTGACGTTTTGGCCGCCAACCTGAGCTGGGGTAGCACCCGCCGCAACCAGGCTCTCCAGGTGGGCCTGCTCATCCTAGGCGTGGGCCTTTTAGACTTCTGCGGGCAGGTGTGCTTTACACCACTGGAGGCGTTACTCTCGGACCTCTACCGCGAACAGGACGACTGCGGACAGGCTTTCGCCATGTTCTCCTTTATGGTTAGCCTTGGAGGTTGCGTGGGCTACCTGCTACCCGCCCTGGACTGGAGCGGTGGGCTCCTGTCCTTCTACCTGGGTGGTCAGGCTGAGTGCTTGTTCTCCCTCCTCATCCTCATCTTCGTGGTCAGCGTGTTAGTCACCATGAAAGTATCAGAGGAACCCTCGTCCACCATGGAACCGGGACCGTCGGAGCCCGGGCGGTGTTTTCCGCGCTCGTGCTGCTATCTGTTTCAGTGTAAGCTGCGGGTTCTTAAGTCTGGCCCGCTCATGTGCCTGCTGAGGACTTGCTGGTCCATGACACCGGTCATTTATCGCAGCTACTGCCACGTGCCGCGCGTCATGCGACAGCTGTGTTTGGCGCAGCTCTGCAGCTGGATGGGTGTCATGTCCTTCATGCTCTTCTACACAGATTTCGTCGGCGAGGGACTGTACGAAGGAGTTCCCAGCGCTGCTCCGGGAACCGCTCTCCGGCAACGTTATGATGAAGGCGAGTAAGACTTAGTCAACATAAAATCAAAATCAACCCTATTTACTTTCTTAAGGCACATTTCTGGTCTTTATTGTAAGCGATTCATTACAGTGATTCATCTTTTTTCACTAATGTAATTTAGCCAGGCTATTGTTATAGTTAGAAAAAAAAAAGAAATGCTCCATAATTGGTGTGCTTGTTTGTAGGGCTGCACATTTTGGCCAAAAATTGTGATTAATAGCACATTTTCCAGAAAATAAGTCACACCTGACTTTAAATTGCACTGGGTCAAAATTGCATTGTTGAGAGAAAATGACATTAAGAAATAATGTATACCGTTAAATAAAATGAAACGTTTACAAACATTATAAACACTATAAACATGTTTAAGATGGTAAAAAATAACTATTTGTTTTGTCATGATGTTGCATTTTAAGCAGTTCATTACTTGATACCCCAAGAGATTAATGGTATTTATTTCAGATTGCTCTCCGACTCATGCGTCATACATTCCTACTCAAGAGGCGTTTCTGTTAATGTTAAGGGAAAGGGACAATAACTAATAATGCATAATAATATACATTAATAGACCTTCAACTCATTTCACTGTCTGTCTATGGCCAAAAGGATTTTTTCCCTAGGGAATCATTTTCACTGTCCATGAACTTGTTTTCCTGGTATTGGTGGTCTTTAATTTCCGTCTTCTAGCCATATCGTCTCTCTCAAGACTGTGAACTTGTGTTCACCTCCACATGTGGCATCCGTCAGCTTTGTGCTTAAGTTTCCAGCAATGTTCATAAACACGAATGCATGTCCTTAGCTAGTCAACAACGGGCTTACAAAATCTACACCCATCTGGATGCCTCCCACTGAGCTTTGACACCAGCAGAACGCTCCTTTAGCAAAACATTTTGACAGATGTGGTCAAGATCAGTGTGCAAACAAATGAAGTCTGTCAGTGCAGTCGACCGCAAACTGTGTAACTGCACCATGTAACGAAAAATGTTTGAGATACTTGTTCAGTGAACATCTCGGCTCTCTGCAATTGTGTTTAAATGATCAATTCCTACTGTGAGGAAAGTTCCTGGGTTGTTTGAAGTACAACGCCAAAGCCTGCAAACACATGCCTTAGTCAACATCACTCGTAGGATTTATTCAAAGGAAGCATTCTCCATTATGCTCAAATGGTCAAAGCAAACCAAACCGTTTGAAATGACCTCATCTGTCAAATCTGCAAGGGCTGGGGAATGTTGTTTACCTGGACATGCAGTTGTTGAAAATAATGGTGCACACACTGAATTTAAAGTATAATAAAGGTCAGTTAACAATATTTGTAAGGAGTAATGATACACAATAACATTATTCTATAATTTATGATTATACACACACACACACACACACACAACATACATTATACTGACAAAAGTAACTTATTCTACAAACCCTAACCTAACAGTCTACTAATACTCTGAGACATGTAGTTGCAAAGTTACTTGTAGTTGTACTTGTAGATTAGAATGTCTAAAGTGGACTATCGAAATATAGTACTACCAAAACCTGTAATATTATTTTTTCACACACTCACGCACACACTACACTTTCAGTAGTTTGGGGGCATTACATTTTTTTCTTTAATGTTTTTGAAAGTAGTCTCTTAAGCTCACCAAGGCTGCATTTATTTTGATAAATAAAATGCAGTAAGAACACAGAAATATTGTGAAATATTATTACAATTTAAAATAATATATTTCTGTGATGGCAAAGCTGAATTTTCAGCATCATTATTAATCCAGTCTTCAGTGTTACATGATCCTTTAGAAATCATTCTATAATATGCTGATTTGGTGAACAAATAACAGTTCAAGCATATTTAAGCGGCAATATAAAAAAATTAATTGATTGTACAATGCTGCGAGTCACCAGTTAGAATCAAGTGCTGATTCTGAATCAATACTTTATTGATTCTAAATCAGAATTAAGTAGTTTCTATTGTGAAATTCTCTAATGTCACCTCTACAGGTATCCGTATGGGCAGCCTGGGCCTGTTCCTGCAGTGCGCTACCTCAACCTTCTTCTCGCTGGCCATGAGCAGGCTGGTGCGCCTCTTCGGGTCCAGGACGGTCTATCTGAGCAGCATGGTGTGTTTCACCATCTCTGCTCTGGTCATCTGCTTGTCCAAGAGTGTGTTGTTGGTCACAGCTATGTCGGCCCTGACTGGCTTTGCCTATGCAACGCTGCAGACACTGCCTTACACGCTCACCTGCCACTACCACAAAGAGAAAGAGGTAGGCATTAAATGCTTATATATATATATATAGCTTGTATAGAAAATACATATTCTGTATATAGAGTCAAAATATTTTTTTAAGTAGTTTCACAATATATTTTTTTATATTTTTAGAAAGGTCAGTTAGAATCCTATGGAAGCTTGTTTCCGCCACTGAATGAAAAATAAAAAAGGTAATTGCGACTTTTTATCTCACAATTCTGACTTTATTTCTCAGAATTGCGAGATGTAAAGTCAGAATTGCGAGATGTAAAGTCAGAATTGCGAGATATAAAGTCAGAATTGCGTGATATAAAATCGCACTTGCGTGTTATAAAGTCAGAATTGCGAGATATAAAGTCAGAATTGCGAGATATAAAGTCAGAATTGCGAGATATAAAGTCAGAATTGCGAGATATAAAGTCAGAATTGCGAGATATAAAGTCAGAATTGCGAGATATACAGTCAGAATTGTGAGATATAAAGTCAGAATTGCGTGATATAAAGTCGCAATTGCGTGTTATAAAGTCAGAATTGCATGATATAAAGTCGCAATTGCATGTTATAAAGTCAGAATTGCATGATATAAAGTCGAAATTGCGTGTTGTAAAGTCAGAATTGTGAGATATAAACTATTCTAAGGGGGAAAAAGTTAGTCTTTTTTCCCCCTTAGAATTGGCCTGACAACTCGTTTATATCTCACAATTCTGAGAAAAGATGTCGCAATTGCGAGATATAAACTCGCAATTATGTGTTATAAACTCGCAATTGTGAGAAAAAAAGTCAGAATTGTGAGATAAAAAGTCGCAATTCTGTCTTTTTTTCTCGCAATTGCGACTTTATTTCTCATAATTGCGACTTTTTATCTTGCAATTGCGACTTTATTTCTCATAATTGCGACTATATCTCGCAATTGCGACTTTATTTCTCAGAATTGCGACTTTATATCTTGCAATTGCGACTTTGTTTCTCACAATTCTGACTTCATATCTCGCAATTGTGAGATAAAAAGTCGCAATTATTTTTTAAAAAAATTTTTTCAGTGGCGAAAACAAGCTTCCATAGAATCCAGCTTGCAACATTTGCTGATATAATATTTAAAAAAATGTCAATTATAAAAATAGTATATACCTATATATATATATATATATATATATATATATAAAACTAAGACATTTTCCTTATCATTTATTGTCATCCTTGTATGGCGCCTATACAATTACAAGAAGCCCTAAAATAAAAGCTAGATATATTTGTCATATATGTGATGTCTCACTTGCTTCTCATCGCAGGTGTACATGCAAAACAGCAAAACCAAAAAAACGCACACAAATGGATTTACCATAACAAGGGATTCTGTTTGTCTGACACTAGACAATGGCCCTGGAGATCTCAACCACAAGAGTGGTGTTTCCAACGGGCATGCTCCTTACAATAGAGATAAACCAGAGTATTACCCACCTCTGCACAATCAGAATGGCCTGGAATCAGAGGATTTTGAGAAACGTGGAGTGGGACTAGACTTTGCCATTCTGGACAGCACCTTCCTTCTGTCTCAGGTCTTCCCTACCCTCTTCATGGGCATGATCGTCCAGTTCACAGAGTCCGTCACCGCGTATATCGCCTCCTCTGCCATATTTGGTGCAATTGGCATCTATTTTGCCACCCACATTATCTTTGACCAAAAGGACCTCAGAAGCTGAAGAAGCAGTAATCATGTGAGTCATTTCACAGTCGACCTTGTACCAAGCATCATCTTAAATGTTACTGACTAATCTACGGAGCCCCTAAAGGGACAGGGTGATTGGAGGAAAGCTTAGCATTCTCTTGCAAAACATTTGCATTCTCACAAACGCACATTTGCATTTGTGTTCGCTTGCTGACAAAACATTTGCGTTTTCTTGCAAAAGTATTGTATTCCCCCGAGAAATTTTGGGTTCACTCGCAAATGGATTGTGTTCCCCTGAGAAACTTTGGATTATCTCGCAAAACATTTGTGTTCGCTTGCTAAACATTTTCGTTCACTCGCAGAAGTGTGTTTGCGCACAAAAGGATTTTGTTCGCCTGAGAAGCTTTGCGTTCGCTCGCAAAACATTTGTTTGCTTGCTAAACATTTTCGTTCATTTACAAAACATTTGCGTTTTCTTGCAAAAGTATTGCGTTCCCCTTTGCATTCGCTCTCAAAAGCACCGAAATAGAAATATCTATTCTCAGAGGAACACTATACTTTTGCTAGAGAAACACAGTGTCTCTGGGGGAACGCAATACTTTTATGAAAGGTGGGAATGCAGTATTTTTGCAAGAGAACTAAAAAACATTTCATGTCCTCTTAGGGGCTACATACCTGACCAACCTTAGATACGTTTTCGCTTTTTCTAATGCAAGTCCTTTGTATGTACTGACTGATTGTTCTTTTCTTCATAGGTCATGTTTGCTATGAGGATAAATTGTGCTTTTTCAGATCTCTATAGGACCAATGGACACATGGACTTGATGTAATTCCTGTTGTGTTTTAAAGACTTTTTGTAAAGAAGTATTTTATTGTATATATATTTTTATATTGATAATATATATTTATATCCCTTTGGGAATTTTTTATGCAACCTGTTTTGGCGAGGTCTGTATTTATGTAGTATTCTAACCTTGTTGTTCTAACCTTGAACAAATGTGGCTTAATTTTTTTTAACCTGAAATTTTGGTCAGTAACCAAGACTTACAATATATTCATGTATACAATCTCAGTCTGGTGTTCAAAATGACAATCTGTGATACCTTTCTACAGGTGACTTTACACAGACCTAAGCTATTATGTGTTGCAAAGCATCATCAACAATATTAAAATGACATTTCTATGGTGTGACTGAGTTACATATGTTGCTTTTACAAAACTGTAACAGTTTCCTGTACTATATAAGTTATTTATCTGTAGGTACACTCACCATTGGCCAGAAACTGTGTATGTGGAGCCTTATTTGTGTGTGTAATGGGGTGTGACATTGTAAAAAGTGGTAAGATTCTCAGGATAGACGTGTCGTCCAGTTGAAAAACCATCTGTTCAACCACAGCACAATTAAATAATAAAAGAGGTACTGATTTTTTAATTGCTGAGAATATGAGAATATTTTTTTATTCTGTCCCATTTCATTTTGGGTGAACTATTTCTTTAAAGTGGTGAATTCTCACATCTAATGCAGTAGGTTTACAACTTTTTGTTCCTGCTCGACATGATCTTCATCACACTAATGCCATGAACAATTTTGTTTACTGGTTGGTTTCAGATGAGCATCAGCAGAAATCATATCCAATCAGTTCCTGCTTTAAAAAAAAAATCTCATTAAATATAGTCACAATGCGGAAGTGAAATGGAGTGCAAATGCTGTTTCGTGTTAACTTTAACATTTCAGAAATTTCTCTGAATTTTTAATCTTGCTTTCTCCCTCATTGGATTTTTTCCCCTCCAGAGTTGACTGGCTGACAAATCTATAAATAAATTCTGTAAAACAAAAAACACTACATCATACAACTTTAGTTGCAAGTGTCTAGAAAGCCACTGAATTAAATATTTGTCATTTAAGAGAAAAAAATAACGCAAGCTCAAAGAATTTTCTATCTGTTCCTGAATGGGTAAATGGTGTTTGGTTAATCTTATATGTAAACAGGATAAAACCTTCCAATTAAAAATAGGGTAAACACATTTGGAGGCTGTAAATTAGTGCAGTGTCATGTTATAAAGTGGATGCAGTTTCAGCACTCAAGTGACATGATGCTGCCTCCTGCAACTACTCAACATTCTCTTTTGTTCCAAAAATTAGACTTCTGAAGTGTTTTGACAATTAATTCTGTAGATAAATGGGTCAGGATTTTGCATTGAAAAAACAAACTGCATTGAGCTTTATCATAGCATGACCATGATAGCATAGGGATTATGTCTGACTCAGTTTTATTAATGGTTTATTCATTACTTTATAGGCCAAGGCCCTAAATTCATAGAAATAATTATTTGTCTCCATTTAGAGATGATAAGCTTAACATCTTTAAAAACCAAATATAAAGAAGCAGGGATTGAGCAATGATGCATACTCGTCTGATCTTCTCACTGTATTCGCCTTTTATTACATGATATTTCAAAATTAATGTTGATATTTCTGAAACTTATTTTCCCTGCAAGGTTGATTTAAATTATAAACTAATATTAACATATCTTAACATTTTGACTGATTTAGGTTAATTAAATTTGAGAAGTGTTGTGAGTCTTAAATATCATTAATCCCCAAGGAAATTAAAACAAATTGCCTATTACTTCCTTTAAAATAATCTTAAAGGTCAAATCTATTGCATTTGTACTATATGATATTGGTGCCTCATATAGAAAAGGATTATGTGCTATACAGAATTATGCATAAATGATCCAAATGATAGTACCAGTATTAAATAACCTAATATACAAAAGAAAATGTATAAAAAAAATACTTGACACTCAGGGTGTAATTTCTTAAATGGGTTATTTGATTGCAACATTATGATACAGCGCCACCTGGTGGTGGACACATACTGTCTTTTATTTTTGTGTACCTGCCAGGTGTAAAAATCTATCTATCTATCTATCTATCTATCTATCTATCTATCTATCTATCTATCTATCTATCTATCTATCTATCTATCTATCTATCTATCTATCTATCTATCTATCTATCTATCTATCTATCTATCTACGTCAGCGATCAAAGGAGTTCAGCTCGCGCTCGGACGTTTGTCAATGCAACTAACCTATGTGTTTTTGCCCAGATTAATAAATCACGGGGGCATATTCAAAATATATCTTAGTGAAAGCTTCCTGAGCAAACAGCGCAGGAAGTGTTTTGCGAGATTGACATGGCCCCGCGGTGACAACTGGCCTGTTTTTACACCTTCCTTCTAAATAAGGAAGCGGCCCGTCGGGCATATGACCACAGGTCCAATTTGGGAGCTGTCAACGAAGCCCATCACGCACGCCCCATGTTCTGCCGCGAGCTCTCGCGCTCACTGTCCCCGGGGCCGCTCGCCTGGATCGACAGCGATTGGGTTCTCGCGTTCGAACTGACCCCCCGGTCGCGGTGAGGTCAGCGTGATGTCATCCTGAAGGTGAGTGATGTCATCCCGAAGATCTCCCAGGCAAGGTGAGCTTGCATTTTGGTGAGTGTGTGGTGCTCCCCATCCAGAGAGGTGAAACATGGTAATCATCATCTCCACCACCACCGCCACCAGCTCAAGCTCTGCCGCCCTGCTCTTCTCATCTACCGAGGGGCTTATTGTGTTACACGCCCGCAGCCCCGACCTACCTTCCAAAAATAAGCCCCTGCCACCATGCCGAAAGAAGAAAAACAAGAGTGGTATTTTTAGGGGCATTAATTTTGACCACGTGCCCCGAGGGTAAACCGGATGGCCACTGCGCAAAGGTTCCTCATCAGTATGTGCGAGAGCAGCGGGCGCTGGACGTGGACTGCGGTTGTTCTGCTGGGCTTTCTGCTTGGGATCGTGTCCTCTTACCCCACCTCGAACAGGACTAATGCAACTCCACTGGAGAAAAGGTGGGAGATGCTGTTCTCCCGCTCCGTTTTGGGGATCTCGGTGGACAAATCGGACCTGAACTGGGAGAGTGACTATTTGCTGGGCATTAAGAGAGTGCGGAGGCTGTACTGCAATGTGGGCATCGGGTTTCACCTGCAGGTCCTGCCAGGCGGAAAGATCAACGGTGTCCATAATGAGAACCCGTACAGTGAGTTGCATCCAGAAATGTCATGCATGACTCGTTTTAGCAGGGATGCAGAAGGATTGAATGAACAGCTCAATTATTATTTTAATTTCAGAATATAGACATATGGGCTATAATAATATAAAATATAGCATATATTCTATACAATTTTTTTATAATTATTATTATAAATTATATTATTTACTATATAATTATTCTTTTAAATTATTATTATTATTATTATTGCATGTGTCCTAAAGCAATGACATATCTGTTAAAATAAACCCTAGTGTCAATCACTGCCGAGTTTCCCGAGGCTCAAACATGACACGAATGCTTGGACGAATTTAGACGGCAACTAATTTTACACAGCGTCCATCTGCTTGTCGTACATGCCAAAACTGCAGGGCTTTTTTTTTTCTTCATGTCACTGTATAAAAAAATTGAGCCAGCATGGGAGAAAATGCAGAACAAAGGCTTGTGCAGAACGCATCCCGCAGAATGAGTAAATGAGCCGTGTGGCACATTGTCATGTATGTAACACTGATGTTCTGTTCAATCAGGTCTCATTGAAATCTCAGCGGTAGAGAGAGGAGTGGTTACTCTATACGGGGTGAAAAGCGAGATGTTTGTCGCAATGAGCAGCCGCGGAAGGTTATATGGAACGGTAGGTAGGCCTATGCCTGTCGTTTGATTTCATTGTGCAGAGAACGCCACAGTTTTACTGCGGTTTTAAATGGGTCAATGGCAAATAAGGATTCGTGGTTTGAGGTGATAAAAATGCTGATCTTTTTACATTAGTGCCAAGTTCTTAGAATTAGTAGGCTAGTCTTTGTAGGCCTATGTCATATTCTGACACATTCTGATTCTTAAAAAAAAAAAAAAAAAAAAAAATTGTTCGTTTGCTTGTTTGTTTGTTCTGAAATGTCAAGTGGTGTAACCATTAAGTAAAAAGTACCTAAATCCTTTCATTAAAGGCCAAAACACCACCCGAAATGATTGACTCACAAAATATCAAATTATCGCTATCGGGCCGAACGGTTCTCGTTGCGAAACCGTGCCTATCCAGGTCAGTTGGCACGGTTACGGACGGTTTCTTTTTTAACCGTGCACTGTAAAAAATGATATGATCAAGAAGTTATGACAACATATGTTTTACATTGATTTAACTCATCAAAAAGCCTAAGTTAAGCAATTTTCAAGTTATAGCCTACAATAATTAGGCTAACTTATTTTATAAGTCACTTTAATTTAATTTAAGTTGAAATGACTTAATCATTCAAGTTGATTGTAGCTACTGAAACATTTAAGGCAGCAACTTTTTTTTACAGTGTGGTACTGGCGTTATGAAATCAGGATTAGAAGAATGTATCCATGTAACCTCGGTTACGCAAGAGCTGGAGACTGAAACGCGATGCTGTTGGTAAACTTTGGAGTTAGCGAGCGTGCTGCGGAGGACGATCACCTTAGAAAAGTAAAAGTTACCAGACATTTACTGACATTAAATTACATTAATAATACATACAGTAAATGTATATATTATATGAAAGGCTGACGAGAAAAGCGTGTAGAAATAGTTTTTTAGGTCAAGAAAACCATAATCCAACCATCAAACTCAAGGTTTTGTAATCTTAGCTACCATGCCGAAACGTGCACATATGGAAATGCAAATGTAACGGTTCCTTACCGTGCTCAGAACGGTTCGGCCTAATGATTCAGAAGAGTGAAATAAAAAGAATTTTATTGTAGGCTATATTTGAAAAACTTATATGGGTTCAGACGGAAAAAAGATCATCACGTCATTGACCCAAATGCATGAATTTTCTCTCTGTTTTTGCTGTGTTTGATTAATTTGAAGTGCATTCAAATAGGAGCATCATTGCCTGGATGGACTATGTCATTTGCTTTGTTTTATTTTTTGGATTCCTCAGCTGTAGGCCTAGTTGATGATGCATTGAATACATTGGCTTGTTATTCATTTTTAATAACTGTTGGCTCATATGAGCAGTGGACTGTGATGTTGTGCATAGCTTGAATGAAATTTTGACCTACTTTCAACTTGCATTACTTAGATGCCAGATTTCACCATGAGTAACACATTATCTTTTGATGACATAGACAGAATCATCAGCAAAAGTGCTTCTCAACCTTTGTAACTCCATGGTCTTCTTGTCAAAGTCAATATTCACACACACTGCCGTTAAAAAAGAGAGAAAGAAAACAAAATAAGGATGGAACAAAGCTGTATTGTTGTAAGGCAGAAGTTATCCATGTATACATTTGTTTAAAATTCTACCTGTTTATTACTATTTATATATATATATATATAAATTATTTATATATTTTTAACATTTTTATTTAATAGAAATTTTTTATTTGTTATGTCCTAGTAAAAATGTTTATTTAGCTTCAGTCTTTTTTTTTTTTCAAACATAAATTGTGAACTTAAAGCTTTGTTTAGCATACAGCACCAAATCTGCTCTATTGATCAAATCTGTTAATTAAAGTCACTTAAAAGATTTATTCTGTTGGCACTTTCAAAGATCAGTTATAAAGACAAACTGAAAAAGTTTGCTTTCCCGATTTTCCGCTGACTGGCATCTCCATTAGAAAGCGCATGGGCCTTGAAAATGAATCTAACCTTGAATTCATGTGTATGTTATGTGATGACTGTGAAAGTTTAAAAATGAATTCACATTGAGAAGTTTTGAAGCTTCTAAGAAAACTGGAAATGAGTTGCCTGGATTTTTAAAGCAAAGCTTTTGTCAGTTAGATCATTATTTATTTAAGATGAACCATTGCTCTGTGAGTTTAGATGTATATTGAGAGTATGATGGAGAAGTGGTGGAATTAGAAGGAGGATACCAAACTAACTATCTAATCCATACCATTTTTAGAGGGCCTTCCATGACGAGTGCAAGTTCAAGGAGACGTTGCTGCCCAACAATTACAACGCATACGAGTCTTCCATTTACAAGGGATTTTATATTGCCCTCAGCAAACATGGCCGCTTGAAGCGAGGCTACAAGGCTTCCCCAGCAATGACTGTCACACATTTCCTCCCACGTTTATGAGCAAAACTGGCAATAAAACAATAATTTGCACATGTTGGATGTTCTCGTAGGTAACCCAAACATGCTAAGAGGTGAACTGCAAAGAACTAAAATAACACTTACGGTATTTATTCTCATTGAAATAAGAATAATAATATATGTATATTTCGGTAGCTTACTTTGTGTCTGAACTTTGTGTACATGCCATTCTTTGCTGCTTATGATTTCTGTTATGAATATATGAGAGTCGAGGAGCTTTTTTTGCCCTCTCACTTTTTATGGGTGCTTGCCATAACTGGTGTAAACCATACCTGGCGTTGGACTAACATCCTCAGCTTTTAGAAGTGAAATGGATACTTTTTATTACCTCAAAGAGACACGTCCGCATTGGAAAAATTAGGGAGGGAAAAATAAATATCAGTTTACTCTGATCTTCATCTGTTGCGCCATTTTACGAGGGAGATGAAAGCACTTATTTTTCTGTAGTTACTCCTTTTTCATGATTAGGTGGTGCCTTAGCCTCTGCTATTTTGCCTCCTTTTGTGCATGCAAGAAAGAGGTTTTTGTTCCTTTTTTAGATCAATAACTAAAAACTGATTGCATGCATACTTATTGGGAGTTAAACTCGGAGAAGGCCATTTTACGCCTCATGTAAGGTCAGAATTTGACTGAAAGCCTGTGGACGGCTAGACCTGTAAGGTTTGGGTGCTTCCATTTGAATGAATAGTGAAAACTGATCAAGCTAGTGAAATGCATAGAATTGCATTCATCTTGAATCATGTGGCACAATTATATGAAAGCATAGCTGTTGCTTAGTGATAATTTTACTTATCAGATTAAATATAGCGTGCGATTAAACAACTTCTTCTTTTAAATCATAGATCTGTATTGATACTAGTCAGTGGTGTCTCTGTTTTACCTCTACAGTCAGTGATCTCCAGTGAGGGCTCATTCACCAACATGTTGACTGCATACTTGAACTCCTCCTTTAAAAAGTCTTTGGAATGTAAAAACCAATACAACCGTCTTAATCTGTTCGAGATAACATAATTTGCACAAACACCTGTGCACATTCTTAAATTCCCAAGTCAGTTGACTTTGTCTAGAGAATTTGGTCGCGCTTGAAATTGAATTGAACTTCGGTATTTAGGCATTCCCCTTCCCTCACTTACAATGTCACCCCACTTTTTTTTTAACTCTAGAATTAAAGGAACAGCAAACTCCTTTAAATTCAAATCATATTAAATTATTATTACACTGTTAAAAAATTATATGATCAAGAAGTTAGGACAACATGTTTTTACATTGCTTTAAAGGAGTAGTTCACTTTAAAAAAAACTTTTGCTGATAATTTACTCACCCCCATGTCATCCAAGATGTCCATGTCTTTCTTTCTTCAGTCGAAAAGAAATTAAGGTTTTTGATGAAAACATTCCAGGATTTTTCTCCATATAATGCACTTTACTGGGTACCAAACGGTCCAAGGTCCAAAAGACAGTTTCAGTGCAAACTGCAAACTGTTCAAAGGGCTTTAAACGATTCCAGACGATGAATAATGGTCTTATCAAGCGAAACGATCGTTCATTTTTTTCGAGTTATTTGATTCATTTAACGACCGAAATGAACGAATTGACTCGGAAAAAGATTTGTTCAATTTGATGAACGAGTTCGAACAGGAGAGTTACACAGAACAGAGCGAGGCGAGCATGTGAGCTTATAAAACTTAAACTTTTTTTTTTTTTTTTTAAATGAGCTTGATAAGACCCTTATTCATCGTCTGGTGTCATTTAAAACCATTTGAACAGTTTGCAGTTTGCACTGAAACTGTCATTTGGACCTTGAACCGTTTGGTAACTTACCCAGTAAAGTGCATTATATGGAGAAAAATCCTGGAATGTTTTCATCAAAAACCTTAATTTCTTTTCGACTGAAGAAAGAAAGACATGGACATCTTGGATGACATGGGGGTGAGTAAATTATCAGCAAAAGTTTTTTTTAAAAGTGAACTAATCCTTTAACTCATCAAAATAAGTTAAGCAATTTTCAACATTTTTTATAAGTAATACAAGATTCAACTATTTTTTTTAAGTTAGTTTAATATGACTTAAGTTGAAATATCCAAGTTGATTGTACTTAAAAATTTAAGGCAGCGACTTTTCTTTCTTTTTTTTTTTTACAGAAGATAATCTGTTAATTTTCCATCTAGGTTGCAGCTCAGACTGCAATGATCAAGTTTGGTAATCACTGCAGTTCTGGTTAGTACACATGAACCTTGCTTTCTCTTGCATTAATGCTTCTACTTGACATTTTGAGACATGTTAATGCTACAAAGGAGAAGGATGTTATTTTGTAGAAGGATGTTATTTACAGTACTATCATGGAGCGTGTGTGAGACTTTTTTCTTAAAGTTATAGTTCACCGAAAAATTAAGATTTCTGACCCTTGTGTCGTTCCAAACCTGTGTGACATTCTTTCTTCTGAAAGAATGTTTTTGTTCATACAATGAAAGTCAATGGGGTCCAAAAATGTTGTTTTGAACCCCATTGACTTTCACTGTAAAATTATGTTTCATAGGTTTGGAACAACATGAGGGTGAGTATAATGACAGAATCTTCATTTTCTTTCGGGGTGAACTAAGCAAAACTGAAACAATATGGTATGGTCATTTCTTTTGTGAGTGTTTTGGGTAAAGAGAGATTTTCAGCTGTATTATGTTGCTAATATGATCTATCTATTATTAATGACAACTACAGATTTAAAATTCTTTGTACCCCCAAAATGGCATGCAATGTTATTGCTTTAATGAAACTGTCAAAATGACTGCTTTTTTATGTATGTGATGACTGATGTTAATTTATTGATATGTATCTTCACTGTACCCTGTCACATTTCTGATCTCTTTATATTTAGGTGAACAGAATTTTGCATGGTTTTTAATGCAAAATGTGGGATGGAAATGTTGTATCTAGAAGTTAGGCCCTCTAAACTAAGTGCTTATACAGAAACAGCTATTTCTCATGTAAGTTCCACCAGTTTCTTTGTACTGTCCTTTGTCGAAATGGCCCCGTTTGCGGCTTGCGAGATGATTGTAAGGGGTAGTGCATGTGTGCGTGTCCTTGTACGTATGCAGCCTTTGTTTTTCCTCAGTTTTGTATTCCTGCACTGAGGGGCAGACCCCCTCCAAATTCCCCTCCTATTTTCTAACATATACCTCACCTTCTGCCTTAGTTCCAATTTGTTGAAATGATTGTACGATTTGTTAGAGACAACAAACTTTTTGCCAATCATTTTGTTCTCTGAAAAGAAAAAATGTAAAAAGAAAAAAAAAATGAGTAAGAATTCTAATATATTAAGAAAATGTTTCCTTTTATTTTTATACGTATGTGCTGTGCACAGCAGCCAACTGTATTACTGAAATGAAAATAAAAGGTTGTTTTTTAGCCTCTGTTTTTGCAGTGTACTTTAATTGTGATTTAATCATTTGGTTTTGTTTAGTCAGGTAGGCCTACATGTAAGATTTAGTTTGAGTTATCAATAAAAAAAAAGTGGATGGTATTTGTTGGGTTAGAGCCTCCTCGTGTGGTCAAAATCCGAAATGCATGAGAATCTCATTTAATTGTGCTTTATTTTTACGTAAAATTACCATCCTGTTTATTAAAAAATGTATTATGCCTGTTTATGCACAGAATGAACAAACAAATAAATAGTAAATAAATAAAACAACAAGGGTGAAGTCAGCAAAATTGGGTAACGTTTTAGTAAACTGTGCATTAAAAACATATAAATTGAATGTTTTAAACAAATACTCAGGTCTCTTGTATCTCTAACTATGTTTTTTGAAGAAATATAGGTGTGTGTGTGTGTGTGTGTGTGTTTAAAAATGATAAGAAACCATTTTTATTCTACAGCTGTTTTCAGGAAAATTGGGACAGTGCAATTGGTAAAGTGGGACACATTTTAGGCCACATAAAGTGGGACACATTTTCATCTAGTTTGTGCTTGGATAATACAATTACTTACAACAGAATATTGTACTTCTATTTTTCAATATGTAAAAGAATAACTACAAAAACAGACACATGAGCGGATTGTGTTAATGATGATGATGATGTTTCATGCTCAGCTTTGGTTTCCTTTAAAAAAAGAAAAAAAAAAGTTTTGGAACTATTTGTTTTTTGCTTTCAGAAAACAATTTAATTCCACTAGCTTTTGCATATTCAAAAGCTATTTTTGCACATCTCTGCGAAAGAAGCTTTAACATGTTTGCCAGTTCCATGGTTTTCTGACAGAGGCATGACTACACACTCACAACTCTTCACTCTTTTTTAAAGGTGGATTTTGGAACACACCATGCCCTAGCCAAATACGAAGTCTAGGTTCCTGGCCTTCCTCCACTCTTACCCTGCACTCATTGATTGCCCTTTTCATTCTTACTTCACCACGGATTACACCTCTCTTCTGTTTGGCTGACATGTTTTCCCATTTTTTTCCCTTTCTGCCTATAGCTTTATGCCATTTTCTGAAAATAATTTCTCACATCAAGCAATGTATTATCTTTTTTTTTAATAGGATGTCCCACTTTAGCTGAATGCTATACTGTCCCATTTTATCTAACACGTTCAGGTAAATTGGGACAGTAAACTTAATTAAAAAAATAGAACGAAGAAACTTGCACATCATTGCAATAAGTTGAATTATCACATGAACATATGTAACATGCCTTTGGTGTGAGAGACCCGGGTTCGAATCCACTGGTGTCCCTGAGCAAGACACTTAACCCCTAGTTGCTCCAGAGACGTGCGAATTCTGACATATATAGCAATTGTAAGTCGCTTTGGATAAAAGTGCCAGCTAAAGGAATAAATGTAAATGTAATACAAATGTATATTGTAGATTGATATATATTACAATTTAAATGTAAAGCATTTAAAAAAAAAAAGTACTACACCAAAAAGCTTCTTTGTCCCATTTTAGCTGATGTCCCACTTTTGCTGACTTCCCCCAATAATTAACTTATATTTAAAGGTCTCATTTGTTAACATTAACTAACATGAGCATTTAGCCTATTAACCTTTGTTAATGTTACACTGTAAAAAATGATCGTGATTTTAACGGTAAAAATGCTACAGTGAAAAACTGTTAATAGGTTAACAGAAAGTTTCCTTGCTATATAAGGTAAATAACTGTGATAGATCTAACGGTACATTTAATGTAATTTTACTGTAAAATACCGTTAAATTTAAAGTTTTTGAAAGTGAAAAAGAACAACTCATTGTATAATTTACAGTGAAAAACCGTAAATTGACATTCCCACAATTCCCTGCGTGACACTTCACATTTGATGTATTTTTGTTGAAATAACTGTTTCTTCTTAGTTTTCTTAGTTCTTTTCTTATCAGTTATGTACATTCGAGTTGTATGATACATTTAATGTTGTTAAATTAATGTTTATTGCATTTTTTAAATTTCATGTGCTACCATGATGCTGTTTAGTGTTTGTGCGAATCACACTGTGCAGCTTCTATATAGTAGTAGTACTAACTTAGTCGTGGAAGGGATGCTTGTGATGAGCTTTCATTTATCATGTGACTTTCTTCGCTGCTGTGATGACTGTTGGTTGTCAGTGTATTACAATGGTACAAAACAGATATTAAATCATAATTAGGTGGGTAAATTAACTTTATATCAGATAACGAAATACGGTTTATTACTGTAAATTTTAAGTTAAGTCTGTAAAACCAATAACGTCTGTACCATATTTTTGACGGTAAAGTTCTGGCAACCACAGCTGCCGGTATTTTACCGTAAAAATGGCATTTTATTTTTTACAGTGTATCTAAAAAAAATGTTTGTGTTAGTTCCCATTAACTAATGTTAACAGATACAACGTTTTATCTTAATGAATATATTAGTAAATGCTGAGATTTACATCAACTAAGGTTAATAGGCTATTGCTGTAGAAGTATTGTTCATTGTCAATTAATGTTAACTAATGTAGCCATAGCTACGGAGTCCCTAAAGGGACATGGTGAAGGAAAAACATGGTCCCTCTCGAAAACGTTTCGTTCACTCGCAAAACCTTTGCGTTCCCTTGCAAATGTGTTGCGTTCCCCCGGGAAACATTATGTTCCTTCGCAAATGTTTTGCATTCCCCCAAGAAACTTTGCATATGTACGTAATATTTTTCGGGGGACCGCAAATTGTTTGCGAGAAAACAAAAAAAGCATTGAAATATATTTTTTTCCTCCTATCTCATATTCTTTACCTGGTGAAGAGAAAAAAATAATGAGATGGAGGAAAAAATATATGTCAATGCTTTTGCGTTTCCACGAGAAACTTTGGATTCCCTCTCAAAAACTTTGCCTTCCACCAAGAAACTTTGCGTTCGCTTTCAACGCAAAATTTCTAGGGGGAACACAAGACGGATGGACCACCTCAGTAATATGGGCTATACTATGCTAATGCTTACAAATGAAGCCTTATTGTAAAGTGTTATCAAATAAATAAATGACAATAAAAACTACAAAAAAGGACACAACTTGCGGTATAGCCATTTCAGACATTTATAACTTAAAAGATGTTGTAAAAATATGTAAAATTCCCAAATCAAACAACTTCATTTGGATACCCAGGATCACTTGACAGTAAAATAATCCGGTTACAACTGCCAGTTGCATGTGCTCAACAGTAGCCTAAAGTTCTTAGTTGGCAAACATGACCTTTGAACTAATGTTCCCCCAGTTATATAAGCCAGCAGTGAGATGCCTCACTGTATCCTGAGCTCTTGCCTGATCCAGACTGATCATGCACATGATTCATCTTCTCTGTCTGGCAGCTCTAAGCATCTGCACACTAATAACTTGTCATCCTATACAAAAGGAAACAATCCAAACAGATTTAATATGTGAAAATCTGAGAGATATGGAGGCCAAGATCAGCAGCAATTTCCTGATGATTCAATTTAGTAATAGGATGAGGAAAGCCATTCATCAACACTCAAAAGGTAAGTTCATTTTTTTACATAAACTGAATCTACATATTTTTACTTTTAATAATATTACTGACACTCGTTTATTTTATAAAGGAGACATTTTACTGAAGAAAAGAAGCAAGGACTGCTTTTCAGTATTTGATATTAAAAATAATAATATAATGTGTTTGGATACAACCAAAAAGCCACATATTTCAGTAAGTATGAGTTTTTTGTTTTGTTTTGTTTTGTTTTTTATCAATATTAATAAAAAATAAACACCTAATTTTACAGCTATTGATATATACTTAGACATTTGCTATCATAATTACTATGTTATGGATTAATAAACATATAGCCTATTTATTATGGCTAAAAGCCCTAAATAACAAATAATAATAACAATAAATTCCAATACCAAATACTTTTAATTCCAGTACTGTTGAAACATTTGGGGTGAGTATTTTTTTTTAATTAATAAAAATTGGTTAGAAATTAACACTTTTATTCAGCAAGGATGCATTAAATTGATCAAAAGTGACAGCGAAGATATTTATAATGGTTCAAAAGATTTCTTTTTCAAATCAATGCTATTCTTTTGAACTTTCTGCTCATCAAAGAATCCTGAAAAATTATTTTTCTTAATAAATGACATGTGTTATCCTCAGGTTGATGTCATTAATAAGGACTCCTTTAAAACAATTCAAAGAAAGAATTCCTATCGGAGTGATGCAATGATCAAGCTTTTTGGAGCTATAAGCCACACTGAGGCTCTTTCTCTGCAATCAAACAACCATAAAACACATCTCAGGCAGAGAAGAAGCCAAAATATTGACCCATCTGATCCTTTGGGATTCGAGAACCCCAAGTCAAAGACCACCAGTTATCGAAGACTAAATCGAGAGCGAGAGCACGAGCGCAGCAGTAATGTCTCTAAAGAGACCATCAGTTCCTATGATGACCCTTTACACGTACTGCTTTCCAAGAGCCCAGTCAGTCCAAATTTACAAAAAGAAAAGAAAAATAAGCACGTTGCACCATCTGATCCATTCTGAACAAATTAGGTTCCTTTACAGCCTCAAAGAAAACCATCTGTGAATTAAACTACATGGGATGGTTCCCTTTTTGGATGATAGCCTACCTAAAAACAAACAATACACCGATCTGAAGAACTTCTAATGTAAGGTTAAGAAAGCAAATGGTTCCATGGAAACAAATAACCAGCAACTGATGCAATCCAGGGCCTCTTTTTCAGCTCAGTGAGCGAGGCTAGTTTAGGTCACTGCTTGTTAGTCCTTTCACCTTTTTAAGTCAGTTAAAATTTAAACTACTCTGCAATGCTGTGGCAATGACGTTGTTTTCATCAGAACTGTGCAAGAACCTTTTTCATTGATTGATGTAGGTAATATCATGAAATACTAAGAATCACGTGCAGTTGGCAATTATTTTCTTGCAATGTTTGGAGTCTGCAATTTGTATCATTATATTTCATGTCGACAGTAGGCCTAAATATCATAGTTTCAAACATATATGAGATGGTGCTGGCCACCTCTACTGAATTATTTATTGAAGAAGTATTGATACGTTTTTATTTATTACATTTTATATTGATGTCTTTAATCTAAATCGGAAAAATGATCAAATTTCAATTTATCAAATGTGAAAGAATTTTTTAAAAGTGTATGTTCAATAATACCCTTAAATGAAATCATCTTTGCAGGAAATCTTAAGAAAGTACTTACCAGGATTTATATTGATTATAATGTGTAATTCATTTAGCAAAAATGTAAAAAAAAAAAAAAAAAAAAAAAAAATCCATTCAAACAATAAAATTATTGGGTTACATTTTTTTGTTCCTGTTCTTGTTAAAGTTTTATGTTATGACGTGAGTGTCAGATTTTCCCATTAAATCTCTTAAATTTAGTTTCTCACACATTTCCCAGCACATTATACAAAAACAATGTTTAAATTGTTTTTGTGAGGTAATGATACTTTTTTATTTTTGAAACAAGATTTTCTAGATCTCAAGATTAATGGTGGATGATGATGATAATCAAGTACAATGACAAGTAATATCAATATAAAGATTGTAACGGATGCTTAGTTTCATTGTGTTTGAGGGGCCGTTCACACACTAACTAAAAACTGAAAAATGTTTATGTGTTTTGGCTGTTCATTTACACGACAACAGCGTTTTGGGGGCCTGAAAACACAAACTTTTGAAAACGGGTTTCAAAATGCAAGTTTTTGAAAACGACACTGTTATTCTCTCCGTGTAAACTACAAAAAAGAGGCAAATTTGTGGAAAATGACACGTATTACGTGTTCAGTCTATTGGCGTGTAGTTTTTCTTTACAGAGTGGCATCGCCAACTACTGGCCTGGCAGCATAATACAGCGTTTTTAGTCGTTTCGAGGATTCGTGTGGATTGTTTTGACAACGTTGTCGTCTGTACGTGAAAAACGAATCGGTTACCTAACGTAACCTCGGTTCTCTCTAGATGAGGGAACGAGTATTGCGTAAGCTAGCTTACGCTACGGGGAAAGATTCATCTTTTCTGAGAAATTGAAGCCAAAAATTATCCTATAATTTTGTATCTATTGTCAACGCAGTTCAGCTGCAGCAGAGCATGAGCAGGCTAGCTAGCAGCTCATTGGCTCGCTCACAGGGAACTGCTTAAGCCTATGAGGAGACACGAATGAACTCTCGGCCAATGAGAGTCTGACCTGCTCTCATTGCGTCAGAGCCCGCGGAAACGGGCGTGGTCAGAGAGTATAAATTCGCCTCTCAGGCTGTAAATTCTGGTTTTCATAGAATGAAGCGAGAACGCTAGTAGCACAAGCACGGCCAGGAACGCAATACTCGTTCCCTCATCTAGAGAGAACCGAGGTTACGTTAGGTAACCGATTCGTTCTCTTACGAGAGGTTCTCTCGTATTGCGTAAGCTAGCTTACGCTACGGGAACACCTGGTCAACGCCGTGCGTGCTAAGCATCCACTATGAGTCCCAGGGGGGACCCCGGGGAACCCTTATGAGTGGGAATAAAATATGTACATGAGACAAAGGCCAGCGGAGCGGGCCGGGGATTTGTGAGGTACATAAGCACATGATAAGGAGGGACAGAACGAGACCGGTCTGCGTGAATAACTCCCTATAGTGCAGCTCAACCAGAAGAGCTGTAACATACTAGACTGCTAGTAGTTTAGCCTGCAAGGTGGGAACTTCCAGATTGTAAAATCTGATAAAGGTGGAGGGGGAAGCCCATCCCGCTGCCACACAAATATCATGAATGGAAATTCCGCTGGACCAAGCCCACGATGAGGCCATGCCTCTAGTGGAATGGGCCCTGATGCCCAGAGGGCATGGCAGGTCTTTTGACGCGTATGCGGCTGCAATGGCATCAACTATCCATCTGGACAGAGTCTGTTTCGAGGCGGCCAACCCTTTGGTGCGCCCACCGAACGAAACAAAAAGCTGCTCAGCTCGTCTGACCGGAGCAGTGCGAGTAAAGTATAATCTCAGGGCCCTGACCGGACACAGGAGATTAGAGTCAGATTCGCTATCGGATGCAGGCAGAGCCGATAGAGAAATAACTTGTGCCCTGAATGGGGTACCAATCGCTTTTGGGACATAACCATGTCTAGGTTTGAGAACGACTAAGGAGTCATTGGGCCCAAACTCCAGACAGGAAGCGCTGCTAGACAGCGCGTGAAGGTCCCCCACACGCTTCACTGACGCGAGCGGGAGCAGGAAGATAGTCTTGAGCGAAAGGTATTTGAGCTCCACGGTGTTTAACGGTTCGAATGGGGGGGCTTTCATAGCTTCGAGAACTATGGAAAGGTCCCAAATCGGCACCGACGGGGGGCGTGAGGGGTTCATCCTTCTAGCTCCCCTGAGGAAGCGGATGACTAAGCCATCTTTGCCCAGTGACTGGCCGCGCCGGGGTTCAGCGAACGCTGCGACGGCTGCCACATACACCTTGAGAGTGGAAGGGGACCTGCCCTTATCCAGCATCTCTTGGAGAAAAACTAGCAAGGAAGGAACCTCGCATGACCGTGGGTCCAAGTTTCTGTCGGTGCACCACTTAGAGAACACAGACCATTTAGACGCATAGAGCCTTCTAGTAGAAGCCGCTCTAGCCTGCATGATCGTGTTTAACACTCCTTCTGGCAAAGCAACGGGTAGTCGTTGATCACCCACGCATGAAGCGCCCAGCGCTCTGGGTGGGGATGCCAGATCGTGCCGCGAGCTTGGGAGAGGAGATCTGTTCTGACTGGAATGGGCCACGGGGCTGTCTGTGACAGCTGAGTGAGCTCCGGAAACCAAGTCTGACCTTCCCAACGCGGGGCTATGAGGAGCACCGAGTGGCGTGTTTCCCTGATTCTCTGAAGCACCTGTGGTAGCAGAGACACCGGAGGGAATGCATAAAGCGGGCGGCTGGGCCAGGTCTGGGCTAGCGCGTCCTCGCGTTTTGAGAAAAATATTGGGCAGTGGGTGTTTTCTTCTGAGGCGAAGAGGTCCACCTCTGCTCTGCCGAATATTCGCCACAGCTTTTGGACTGTAAGAGTGTGCAGGGACCATTCGCCAGGGGGAATGGGGTTCCTGGACAGACTGTCTGGACCGTCGTTCAGATGGCCCGGCACGTGCGTCGCTCTGAGCGAGAGCAGGTGACACTGGGACCAAACTAGGATGCGTTCTGTCAGCCGGAAGAGCATTCTGGATCTGACACCGCCCTGACGGTTTAGATAGGAGACCACAGCCATATTGTCCGAACGGATCAGCACATGGTGACCGTGAATGCGCGGCAGAAAGCGCGTGAGCGCGTTCTGGACCGCCAGCATCTCCAAACAGTTTATGTGGAGGAGACTCTCCTGAGCTGACCAGGGGCCGAAGGCCGGTGAGCCCTCGCAGACCGCACCCCAACCCATGTTGGATGCGTCTGTCGAAATGACTTTTCGGCGAGAAAAGGTCCCCATGGAAACGCCCCGCTGAAACCATTCTGTCATGGTCCATGGCTGCAGAGCTGTGATACAGGTCTGCGTTACCTTTATCAGCTGGCGGCCCGTGGTCCACGCGCGGTGAGACACACGGCTCTTCAACCAGAACTGAAGCGGGCGCATGCGCAGTAACCCCAGCTGGAGCACTGCGGAGGCTGAGGCCATGTAACCCAGCGCCTTCTGAAAAGTTTTCAGAGGTGTGAGTCTGTTCATCTGAAAGGATGCGGCGAGACGCTGCACACGGCGCGCGCGCTGTGTAGACAGGCGAGCCGTCATCGAGACCGAGTCTAGCTCTATACCCAAGAAGGAGATAGTCTGACTGGGTTGAAGTGCGCTCTTTGTTCAGTTGACAGAGAGGCCCAGGTTTTTCAGATGGTCGAGGAGGACTGTACGATGAGACAGTAGCTCCCTCTGTGATTGTGCCAAAATCAGCCAGTCGTCCAAATAGTTCAGTATTCGCAGCCCCTGACTCCACAGGGGGGCGAGCGCCGCATCCATGCACTTCGTAAATGTGCGGGGTGCTAGGGATAGGCCGAACGGGAGGACGGTGTATTGATAAACCTGGCCTTCGAAGGCGAAACGTAAGAATGGCCTGTGAAGGGGATTTATTTGAATCTGAAAGTAAGCATCTTTCAGATCTAGTGAAATGAACCAGTCCCCCTGGCGCACATGCGCGAGGAGTTTTCTGATAGTGAGCATTTTGAACGGTCTCTTCATGAGAACTTTGTTCAGAAATCTGAGGTCTAAGATTGGTCTGAGGCCGCCGTCTTTCTTTGGAACCAGAAAATAACGGCCGTAAAACCCCGACTCGCTCATAGATAGAGGGACTCTCTCTATAGCCCTTTTGCACAATAGTTTCGCTATCTCTGAACGGAGCAGAGTCACTGCTTCTGGGTTCACAGTAGTCTCTAGCCGAGCTCGGAAACGTGGAGGGCGGCGGTGAAACTGTAAGCGATAGCCTAGCCTTATTGTGTTTAGCACCCAGCGGGAAATTCCCGGAATAGCTTCCCACGCTTTGAAGCGTAATGCTAAGGGGTGAATGGCTACATGGTCCCCGTTGCTGTACACAGCGGGCCGCGCGGGCGCGCTCATCGTGTTTATAACAGCGGGACTTACACTCAGAGATGAGTTTAAGGGCCGTGTAACAGAGTGGGCAGAGGTGGGACGCGCACACGGGCTCGTGGGCGCGCTTATGTACTCTGACACTCGAGCGGGTAGGAACCGCTTTATGAGAGTGGGCTCTGTGAGACACACGGGAACTGAAATGCTTTTGTGTATGAGTGAACACAGTGTTGTGGGCACATTTTCTACACGTGAGGCTTTTATGCTCTTTTTGAGATTTCTCTGGGTCGCCGTGAAAACGGCGTTTGTGCTCATGCAAGCGGGAAAGGGAACCGGCTTGGTAATGGCGGGGTACACTGCTGTAGTAGCCGCGTGAGCGGGGACTAACAGAGGGCGAAACTTTGACGGCGGTCCGGCCTCGGCGGGAGAGCGCCGTCTTTTTCTCAGCTGTGCTAGGCAGACTTAGAGTGATCGGGTTTCAGCGTGATCCTGGACCGAGGCCCACGGGGAGGCGGCGGTCTGTGGCGGCTGTCGGAGCGAGAACGAGGGCGGCCGCCCTGGCGTCGCTGAGAAGTCTGACTGTGCTGAGCTGGGCGCTGGGGTGGGGCTCGTGCAGGAGGCTGGTCACGTGAGCGGCCTGCAGAGGAGCTAGCGCGACGAGGCAGAAAAAGATTCATGGCCTGGGAGGCTTTCTGCACTTCGGAGAAACGGTCAACGATACCCGTGACAGCAGATCCGAAGAGGCCGGACGGAGAGAGCGGGGCGTTGAGAAAAGTGGCGTGCTCGGAATCTCCCATGTCGGCGAACGTGAGCCACAAATGTCTTTCGGACACACAAATGGCGGCCATACATCTCCCCAGGGCTTGAGCAGCAGACTTTGTAGCGCGAAGGGCAATGTCCGTAGCGCTCCTCAAATCCGCGACTGATGGGGGATTTTTTCCGCTCTCGTCCCACTCACGCAGTAAATCACCCTGTAGAATCTGGAGGACGGTCATGGAGTGAAGTGCAGAGGCTGCTTGGCCGGCGGCTGAGTAAGCGCGCGCGTGGAAGCTCGAAGTCGCTCTGCAGGCTTTAGAAGGAAGCACAGGTGATGAGCGCCATCTCGTGGAGGGCGGGCACAGATGTGCGGCGACCAGGTCCTCTACAGAGGGAATGGAAAGATAGCCCTTTTCTGCGGCTCCGTCCACAACGCGAAGCGGGGCGGAAGAGTCGGAGCGAGTTCTGGCAGAGAGCGGGGCATTCCAGGACTTTGTGAGTTCCGCGTGCAGTTCGGGCAAGAAGGGCGCGGCCCGTTTAGTGACGGGAGTCGAGCGCTGGCGGAAATAGCTGCCGTCCATGCGGTTGATGGTCTGCTCGGGGGGAGGAGACCAATCGAGCCCGAGGCGTTCGACGGCCTGTGAGAGGAGGCGCACTAATTCCTCCTCAATTCCAGCGCGGGTCCTAGAGGATTCTCGGGCCGAAGAGGCGTGAGAACCGGACCAATCCTCACTGTCTGAAGCGAGAAGCGAACATGTCTCCTTGATGTCCGCGGCGTCGTCGGAGGCGACAGAGCGGCCACTCGGCGGCAACTGTATGTCCGGAAGCGGCGGAGAAGGAGAGCGGGAGGCGACAGGCTCCGGCGGGATGAATGCTTCTGGCTGGGGTTCCGGCGGCCTTTGCGAGCGGCGTTTCTTCTTACGCGGCGAAGTCGAAGGCGGCGCGGAAGCAGCTTTTGTGGCCTGAAGTCGAGCCCGCAGGGTCGATAACGGCATCTCCTCGCAGAGATCGCAGCCGCCATCGGCGAGGGCGAGCTCGGTGTGCTCCAATCCGAGGCAGAGAGCGCAGATGACGTGGCGGTCTCCAGTCTCGAGGGGAGCGCGGCAAGAACCGCAGGAGGAAAAACGAGACATCTTTACAAAGACGCTCGGCTCTTTTAGATACACACACACACAAAACAAGAAGCTTTTGATTAAAGGATATGAATCCGTCGGATGGCGCTAGCTTGCAGGACGGCTGAAGGTGGCGAAGACGGCCGGCTTCCTCAGTCTCCCAGATGCTCGCTAGAAGGTGCCTTTTCTACGATGGCGGCTTCTCTCAGGATCAGCAGATGCGTGTAGCCTCGCTGAAGAGATGAAAATCAGAATTTACAGCCTGAGAGGCGAATTTATACTCTCTGACCACGCCCGTTTCGGCGGGCTCTGACGCAATGAGAGCAGGTCAGACTCTCATTGGCCGAGAGTTCATTCGTGTCTCCTCATAGGCTTAAGCAGTTCCCTGTGAGCGAGCCAATGAGCTGCTAGCTAGCCTGCTCATGCTCTGCTGCAGCTGAACTGCGTTGACAATAGATACAAAATTATAGGATCATTTTTGGCTTCAATTTCTCAGAAAAGATGAATCTTTCCCCGTAGCGTAAGCTAGCTTACGCTACGGGGAAAGAGTCGTAAGAGAACGCAAAGAAAAAGTTTATGTGTTCCCTTTTGTCACTACCAAAATAATGATGGCATGTTTCGGTAATGACAATTTAAGATACTTTTGAGCCTACTTCAAAGATGATAACCAGCACATGGTTGCACGGTGCTGAACAGTTGTACACCCAAAAAAGTTCACTTAATTGCAGAAAAAAGGTGTTTGGTAGTGACGTCCCTTAAAGTTACACACAGATTTCATCAGACTTTTGAACACATTTCCCTCAAAATGATGGTACCTATCTACAATGAAAGTGTGGTTCAAATCAGTCTCAGCCAATGGAGTTAAACACACTGTTTTGGTAGTGACATGAAAATGCCACTGTGGAAAATGCCCACAGTAGCTGCACGTATCTCAAGCTGTCTGGCGGACATCTCGGCATGGAAGGAACATCACCTGCAGCTCAACCTGGCAAAGACTGAGCTTCTCGTCCTCCCTGCCAATCCATCACTACAACACGACTTCTCCATCATCAATCACCCCATCAAGGTCGGTCAGAAATCTTGGAGTAATTTGATGACCAGCTGACCTTCACAGACCAAATTACAAAGACAACTCGATCATGCTGGATGCACTGCACAACATCAGGAAGATCAGGCCTTTCCTAACTGAGCATGCAACACAACTTCTCGTCCAGGCCCTGGTCATATTCTCGGCTTGATTACTGCAATGCTCTTCAGGCTGGACTTCCATCATGTGCAACTAAACCTCTACAAATGATTCAGAACGGTGCAGCAACAACAATGGAAAAAATTGAAAAAAAACAAAAAAACATTTCAATATCATTTTCACAAGTTGAAATTTAGGGGTTAGGGTTCGGGACAGCCCCCTCCCAGTTGAAAGTACCCAATAAATGATGATTTTATATATATTAAGCTTACTTATATTTTAAATAATATTGTGGGATTCAATAGATATTAGAAGGATCTTAGTAAACATCTAGAATTTGAATACTTAAATGCTTTTTAAATGTGTTTTTTTGGTTGTCGGACAGCAGATTGCACATATTCTGTAATGGCCCATATACTGACAATCTGTTTAAAACTTGTTTCCATTTGCATTGGACTGGTATCAGCTGGACTTGTTGATGTTTGTTTTTAGTGATTATGTAATTTTAAGAGGCAAGCAGTGCATATAACCAACAGTTTATCCTTTCTTTTGTCAACAGATTTGGGTGCATGAGTTAATTCAAACCTTCACTCAACAAACACCTTAAAACAAGGTCAGAGTAGCTGAATATCTTCAATATTGACTGTTCTGTGCTGCTGAACATGTCAGGACACTCCGCCGCAACTCTTATGCAAATATGAGGCACAAAATGCATATATAAAAATATTGTGTTCTTGCATATCATTTTAAAAAGTCTTTACACAAGAATACATACACAAGCAATGCATGGTTCCGGGTTCAGTAATAACAGGTCATGACAGTCATCCTTCAAAGATGAAAACAGAAGTTCACCTAAAGAACTTCTTTTAATTTCCCAACAGCAAAATTGTGGCTATATATAAACACAACAACATAGATGTAAGACATTTATTTAGTTAACATTTACACGTTTATACCATTTAAAAGTAAATCAATAACTTACATACACACAAACACTCCCTTGCAGAAAATTAATAATCTTCAAAAAACAATATTTAATACTGCCAGTGTCTGAATGGTATACAATATAGGATTCATAAGTTATATTAAAAAATCAAATCAGATATTTGTAAAGGTTGTCTTTCTAAAAGTTATAGCACAAAATTCTGTATGATGAATCGGGGTAAAGTGCTTGAACTTTGACATGCAAACATTTTATTGCCTTTTCTATTCATATATTGTTGTTCTTAATCAGTCTTGATGTGATCTCTTCTGTTGATGAACACGCATTTCATGTCTGAAAGTGCAAAACCCGCATTACTACATTTCAAAGTGATAATAAAACGGCACATTCCGGTGTTCGGGCAGATGGAAAACTGTTGAGCTGGGTCTAAACCACGGCCCACGGGGCACTTCAGGTCCTCAAAAAAATGCCGCATCATTATGCTCATATAAGCCCCGTGGCCAACAACCAAGGCATGGACAGAAACATTCAAGACTCCGTCATCTGGGAGTCCTGCAGGAGCCCAATTGGTTTCATCTGATATGGATGTCTCACCATCTTGTACTTTGTCTTGATGGTCATTAGCTATTCGCTGAATCATAGCCTTGAGAAAATCCTTGATTCGCACCTTCACCTGAAAGGAATAGAAGCTTTTATATATATATATATATAGTAAAAATAACTATTTGTTTTTTGCCTCATTTAACTCATTTAAAGACATGACTGATCTCATGAAATGGCGTATGTATGACACGCCAATTCGTATTTCCATTTTTGGCGTGCTATTAACACGCATAATCGCTTTTCAGCGTGTTTATCAACGCCTTTGACTTAACGTTATATTACTGTATTATGTATATATAAATATATGACCTACCCCAACCCCGTCCCTAAACCTACCCGTCACTGGGGTTAATACCATTTATGAGTCTTCTCCTACCATCCTAGGAAAAGAAATATCGCTCCACAGATGTAGATATAGATTTTGCTTCGTTTCGCTCGGACATTTAACGGCGTACACATACACGCGGAATCACTCGGACATTTAATGGCGTAGACATACACGCAAAAGATTTCGGCGTGGACATACACGCGGATAGCTCAAAATGCGTATAGATAGCACGCCACTTGAATTGAAAGTGGCGTGTATGTTTACGCAAAGTCATGATGTCATGTTGGTAAACAGAAGTTTAGGATCAGATTTGTTGTTTTCTGTTGAAAATGTGACGAACTGGACACTAAATCCTTTTTTATTTATTGATAATAATTCAAAATTCATTTAAATAAATTATATTAAATACATGGGACATAGGACATGGACTGTTATATTATATTAAAATACAAACTCCTGTTTTGTACAGTGTTGCCATTTAGAGTGGCTGTTTTCTTTCATCACAAACCAGCTATACTGACTATTATTTTTTTTGTTGACATAAGTGCCATTCATTTTACCTGCTCCATGGTTTCTCCCTCAGGTGGAGTGAACTCTGGTAAAGGCTGCCCGGCTGTTTTAGCCATGTTTTTCATTTCTATGACTCGGCCTCCCTCAGCTATACCAAAACTCTGGAGAAAAAAATAGTTCTGAGATGCATATACTCTGATCAGACATTTTTCTTATATTATCAAGCAGTACTCTACTTACTCTCTCTTTAAGTGATCGATCTGCTACTAGTTCTATATCATGGCAGGTTCTGTTGTTCCTCACAATGATCTCCGCAGTCTGTAATTTTACAAAAAAAACGTGATTATTCATCCTAACAAACGAATACACACAAGGAAAGTGATATTTGTTACAAGAAACCAATATGACACACTAGTTAGATATGATTATAACTTCAGTGGGCATGTGCAACCTTATAACAATAACATTTGCAACAGTTGCATATTGCAAATTAACAGATCTTGTCTGTTAACATATGGTTTGACTATTATTGATGGTTTCTTTATCATGTTCAAAATCGACTCACATAGGTATATCGCTTCAATGCTTACTGACTCTTATCCAGGGAAACATGCATTTCCAGCTCTATTAACCCACATGAGCACTGAACAGAATAACCTAAAAAGAGTTTCTTTTATTTTGGGGAGAAACATTTCCCTCTACCTGTGGCAAACGTGTATGTTTCTACTAGACTTGAACTAGTATGTTTCTGCTTACCTGCTTGGCACGTTTCATGTCACTGACAAACACGTTTGTGAATTTTACATCCCTGAGGTACTGGCCAGCAGCCTCAGATTGACGTATCCCAATTTCAGAAAGCGGTGAGTCTATTTTCTGACCTAAAAGCAAAGAAATTATAGTTTGTGGAGCATGTGGTGAGATTAAAAAAAAAAAGAGAAAAAAAAAAGAGTAATGCTTAATGCCTGAAATAAATGCAGGGGTACTAATATGGATAACAGTTTTTTCCCCTGTAAAAAAATACCTTGTAAAAGGCCATCTTTGTTGCACTGCGTCTCACCACTGGTAAACCAAAACAGTAATAGTGATCAATAAAAACTTTATTACTAACCAGCACACAGTTGTAACCAATCATTTTAATTCAAGAAAACCCCTATAGTTGTAATTGTGACTAGAGGTGTTCCTAACTTCACACGTTTATTCTTGTAGGCTGTAATGAAAAAGAAAGGGATTCTACAAAACCTCTAGCAATGAAGACAACAGACTATATAACTTAAATGTCTATGTAACATGGACAGTGAGGGTAGGACATATTTTTGGTGTTTTTGGAGTTACATCAAGTTTGCCTCTGACCTTTCACTGGAAGAGGGATTCGTATTGCCCTTTAAACACAAGTTACAACAGACAGGAGTAATATGATATGAGCCCAGTAAAGTTTAAACTAAATTCCCACTAGCATATTCAAACTCTACTAAATGTCAGACAGCCCTCATGTATTAATACCGTTCTATAACACCACGACGTTCTGCTACAGCTATATTTAGAACTACTTTAGCAAATAATTAAAATATCAGGTCACTTTAATTTAGAGTTACTGAATCAATGATGCAGTGATTATCAGATAGCAATGTAGAATGAATAGGTATAATGAGAAAAATTTTTTCATTAAGCAAACAAAACAGAAAAGCCAACTTACTGTCGGACTATTGTTAAACCAAAAGCGAGCATTGCAGCAGCTATTACGATGCAGTTAACAGCGTCGTGAGGTTATAGATCTTCATCCATTGATCCAGGAGTCTGTCACGGCCCTTGCGGTTTCAAATATGCGCTGTTTTGTGGTGACAGCACTGCCACTGACAGCGACTATCACCGTACTTGATTTAGCCGGAAGTTCGTACGCATGGCTGGTAGGTCCGACTCAATTTCCAAAATGTAGCCTTTAAGCAATATTTGCTATCCTTTTAAATTTTGTTTGTAAGGTTGCTTATTGGAATTTAATTTATCCTACTTAATTTTGATGTAGCTGAAACATTATTAAAATGTATATTTCTCGGCTGAAATAGTCGTTGCTTGTTTTAATAAAATGCCATTTGTTAAAACCAACTCTGTTGTGTAAGTTTGTTGATAAAGCTGTCACAGCTGATTAAGTCATATACATATTTCCAGTGTGTTTAACATTCGATTCATAAACAAATCGTTCAGATTTGTTTTGTATGCACCAGCTCAACCGAATCCTTGAAAAGATCCGACTCAAAAGAATGATTCGTTAACGGCGATGTCTCCAAGCTTGCAGTGACTCACATTGGCGCCAGTGGCGCGTGGCGGGCTTTGAAATTGTATAACGTCTGTCTGTCACAGTTTTCTTTTGGACTGTATCTCATTGGCATTACATTGACTCGACATAGGTATTTCATTTTAATTATGATATTTTAAGCACTCACCAGCTGTTCCTCAGTAGTAAAATATAAACGTTTCTAAACAATTTTACCACAGTAGCCTACAGTAGGCCTACTGAAATAAGAAGAGGAGGCGGAATACTTCTTTCATGGTAAGTTTATTGACCTTAGCATACAGATCTCCTTTAACTTCATTCATGCTCTCAATGACAAATTATTTGAGTTCAACAGAAATCCAAAGATTATCCACAGAATTGCCAAGCCCTAATGACTTACCCTATAATTCATCTCTTATAAATCAGCTGTAACAATTTCCAACTTATTTAAGTTATAATTATTTAGCGGATAATTATGTAAGGAAACATGGTTGAATATAAAAGTTCAACCTGTTCAAATGTGTAATTTTCACCCAGTCTGTCTGATTACCCACACTCAATCTTTACAGTCATTCTCTACCAGGTTATAAAATGCTGGATAGATTCCCGTTGTTATTTTCACCATTAACATTGCCAATAAAAGGTTAAGAATAACATAGGACCAACATAGCACCACACTCTTTAAAGCAGATATTTATTGAACAGAGGTTGTGCAACAGACATAACTGAGGTACATGATATGGTTATAGTGGAGGGAGGAGGCCTTTACTCGTTGTTGCTTATTTTATATTTACAGGTTTATATTCACTGAAAAGGGCAGGGTACACAAGACATTGTCAATCGGACATTTGTCACCTCCTCCATCCACTATTTCTGACGTCCAGGTGGGAGCCTTGTAAGCTTTCTATCCATCTACATCGAAATTCAACTGTATTTACTACATCAGACATATCATAACCTCTTCTATGTGCTGTCCCTTCCAGGTTCCCGAAAAAACTGTTGTGAGTTGTGTGAGGTAATGGAAAAAGTATTTTATGTCCAGTAAACCTGAGGTATAGAGATACCATACTTACAGAATGTGACAGAGAAAGAAGAGGAGGAAAAGACTAAAAGGTAAAGAAACATGCCTTTATAAGAGCACACTGTACAAAGAGCATTTCCAGTCGAATACTCATTTCATGTTCTTCTTTTACCCTCTACTTCTGTATTCTCAAAGTATTCTGTAAGCAGTAAAATAATTATAATACAATTGTTTATAAAATAGCAGCACACTGATGTGACATCACAACTATGTAATGTTATTTTTGTGTATAAGATGAAACAAACAAACAAAAAAATCATAGCTTTTTAGCAGCGGAAAAAACAATAATAACTCAATATAACAATATTGACACTTGATTGATGTCTTCACACCCTTTCCATCTCATCACTTTGGAATACAGTATCATACCCCTTAATGAACGTAACTTCAGTCCATATTCAAAGTCAAACGACATAGCCACACCCATACAATCTGTTAACAGTACTGTAATTCATTTTCAGAGCAGAGCTGGGAAAATATTAAGACAGACTAATTTAATACAATAAGATTGACGGTTTTGGTGCGAGGATGGAGGAAACGTGACTTGCGAAACTCAAGCATCACTAAGAACTGTTTCTCGGCAAAGGAAATGTACGAGTACACGCAGACATCTCCTTTACACACAGAAAGACATGCACACAAACACACACGCATATGTAGACGGACACAAACCTAAGCTCGACTGCCCCTTTTCAAGGTAAGCTATGAAAATTCAGCATATGAAAGCTGTTTTGTGCTGATGATGCACCCTGTTTTTGGACACTGTAATGACTTTTGGAAGTTTTCAAATCCCATGCCAGTTCAACCTTTGGAAGCAGCATATTTTGGATGGCTTGGTAGTGGATCTTATGCTTAAGCTCTGCAAAACAGGGTGAAAGTCTACATCAGACTCAAGGCACTATATAAAAAAAACATTTCTGCAATGGTGCAGTTGCACAAGTTAATCTTTTCAAATTTCAAGAAAACTGCCCTTGGAGCGTGCAAACCAACAAACAATTTATTTTCTTCCATTTTGATCTGTTTTCTGTCTTTTTGTTGTCTGGTTTTTGGTCTTTTTTATTTTGTTAAATTAATTTGCCTTATTATTTTGTTGCTGTTGTCATACATTGGTTTCCAATGGTTTAACGCTATAATGAACCGAACATGCCATGATCAAAACATGGGAAACCAGCCCCCCAAAAAAAAGAAAAAGAAAGAAAAAAGACCCCTTAATCATAACCATTTGTTATCCATGGCAAATACGCTCAACATTAAACTGACACCGATGGAGTAATCTGCCCCAGTTATGAGCTGGCAGTATCAATGAAACTGGTCTGTAATTCAAACACGAGACAAAAAAACAAAACAAAACAAAAAAAACCTAAAGGACAAACAAATAAACTGACAAATAGATTAAAGATCTTAAATATTAGGTGATTTATGGAAACCATAATAGCTGTTGTTTCTCCTTTGGCCTCCTTTCCTGCTTCTCCTAACTCCATATCATCATCCTCATCTCAGCAGCATGCTTCACACCTCAAACTAACCAAGCTTCATCCTCATCATCCTCAATCATTCTTGCCTACACATTCCTTTACTGCTAATCAAATTTGCACACACTTGTTTGCAAACAACTCCATGACTCTTCTCTCGGTCCCTGGTTGGACCAAACACAAATCAGCCTAAGGCTCCTTCAACACGCTAACAACAAAATACGTAATAACAATATAAACTGTATACAATACAACTGTAATATTTAGTGGGAGGTTGCCCCAAAGGACAACCTTACCCACAAATTTTAAAAACAACTATTCTTGCCTTTAGAAGAAATGAGGGAACGTAGCCGTCTCTGTCCGCTCCCTTTTCTTGCCTCCTCATGTTCTGTGCACTGGGTTGGGCTCAGCCCTCAAGCAGTTTCCAGGCCAGTAAATAAAAGCATTTAATATAAGGCACTGATACAGGAGGCCCTCGAAGCATCGTGGAATCATTTGCTATCCCTGTCCAGACCATGTGCCTACCACTGAATCCGTCTCTATGACCAAACACTTGCAGATAGATGATTAAACAAAGCCCACATGACTCACACAAGAGTGCCTGATATAGGGTAACTTGTACACACTTGCAGATGAGCCAACATACACCACACGTAAATGCATGCACACAAGCAGCTTGACAAAAGCTTATTTGAAGTGTCTGTAACATTAGCATCAAGAGACAATAACTTGCTTGTTTAACAGGAATAATAATAATAATAATATTAAAATTATATTAATAGTCTATTGTCGTGATATGAGCCCGTTGCCCTAGCAAAAGAGCCCTGCGTTCTTAGCATACGACTTGTGTCTCACCGCTCCTTTTTAATCCCCATTTTCTGGTCCTAATGCACTCTTAGTACACAGCCAAGTGAATGGGTGCGTTCATTCAGACTCATGGCACATCAATGTGTGTTCAAGTTCAGGCATTCCAAAATGAACCAAAAAATAAAATAAAAAAATCACAACAAAACAGGAAAAAAAACATAGCCCCACTTTTTGTACCCTTTCAAGCCAGTCTGATACAGTAGACTCTCTATTTCGAAAAGCCCTTTACACTATCACTTTTGCATTAAATATCATATTATTATGTTTACACAATCAAAAGAGTTTGCAAAATACTACATGCTTCCCTTCTAAGAGTCTGAGGCACCGTAGAGGTTTTTGCATCATTATCAAATCATTTTAAAAATATCTATTTTTTGTATCTAAAATAGCTTAGATTTTTTTCTTTTTTTTTGTCATTTACGGGAGTATTTTTTTATTGGAAAATGAAGATAAAACTCTACAAAGACTAGCAAGCACTTTTTGTTGGGGTTGTTTGTTTTTTTGTCATTTTTGTTTTTTGTTGTTTTTTTCTTTTCTTGAAGACTGATCACAGCATTCCTGCAGCAAGCTCACAAGTTGATGTCTCGTACATCGGTTGGGGTGCTGGACTGGTCCTGGTCATCAAGTGCTTTGCTGCGCGGGCCACCCTGTTCCTGCTGCTGCTGTTTCTGCTGCTGCCGGCGACCCTCCCTTAGGTTATTCATCAACACTCTCTCAATCTGCTCCTGGCATTCCTTTAACACATCCTGCAATGCATCAGACACATAACGTTAGAAAAACAGGTCACTTACATCGCTGCAATGTACTTATCCAGAATCTCTTCATTAATAATGCTGTTAAAGCAAATGCAAATTCACACTCAGTTAATGGTTTAGGTCAAGCAAGATTTAACCAAAATTCTAACCTAGATTTTTCTGTCTACACCAAATATGCATCTAAAACAATAGAAGTTGCCCTGCAAGCAGAGAAAAAAAAGCTCTACCACAGTTTCCTATGTTAATTACATCTATATCCCATGGATAAAACAAGGTAGTGTTTCACTTGTTTTTTTTTGTATACCCTTTCATTTTCACAACAGGGAATCTCACTTGAGTCCACCAGAGTCTTCTTCCTGCTCTGTATAACCAAGAACAAACTAAATCTTTTTTTTTGGGATAAAATATGAAAAATGCTCAATGCAACCCTGTGGGTGGCTCCAAAGAGCATACAACATATTTAAAATGGCTTTCACACACTGTCACCAAAATGAGCAATGATGCCCTCTAGTGCAACTAAATGGATACGGTGATCAAAGCTCTCCCTCCTATTTAGTGGGTATGTCTGAGACACAACAGGCATCTGTGGGAAGTTTGCTGTGAATGGCCCATGGGAAGGGCCTGTGGAGAATGTGTTGCTTGTGGAGAGGCTGCATTCCTTTGACATTTACTGCTAATTAAAAGCTGATGGGCCAAAGTCTGAAATTATGTTTATGCATGGCTCCTGGGCCAGGCGAGTGTTTCTTGCCTGTAGAAGCAGTCTATTGTTTATCATTTATTTATTTTTTTATCGTTGAGGAATAGCTTAGTGTCTCTAGGTTTTTTTCTTTCATTGTGGATGACAATGCCACCATCCTTCTGGAGATTGTTTCCCACCACGATGAGCCATTATTAGTCATGAAAAATAAATTCCTTGTAGTAAATTAACTAAAGCATAAAACATGTAAAGGAACTGCCTGTGTCTTACCACAAGAATGCCAGGCCCGACTTCTTAAAAGACATTTCCCTGTGCGCTGGTCTTTATAGCTGCACAACCAAATTCATGCCAAGCCCCAAAGGCTTAATTCAGGCAACTCTAATAGCTTCAATGTGCGACTACTGGTAAAACCAGGACTTGCTCTAGAAGAGCTTCTCAATGATTAGATCCAGAGAAGGGTGGCACTTGGTGAGCTGCAGGATGGAGTGGGTGGTCCCTGCTTAATCCAACATTGCCCTGATCAAGAACACCCTCTATCCCACCGGAGCATGGCTACGTTTGTCAAAGTCAAACAAATGAATAAAAATCGGTCGAAACCACAAGAAAGATGGTCTACTGAAGAAACAGCAGTTATTGTGATGTCACTCAGTGTGTGCCATCTTAGACAGAAGAAGCCTAGAAGCATAAAGGAGAGACTTGAGTAGCCAAAAGTAAAATAAAAAATGGTGTCTGTTTTTTTAATGGGAAGTGAAAGCAAGGATTGCCGGGTTCAGAGCAAGGCCATCACAGCATTGAGAAATGAAAGGGATTAAGATGTCCCAGAGGCCTAATGCAAGAGGCCAGGGGGCCTAACACATGATCTTATGTACCAAAAAAGCCTTGAAGTTCTTCTCTAAATAATTTGCAACTCTTCAGCTCCAAATAACATTTCGGTTGCAAATAACAACGTCCTTATGACATTATGACTTAAGGCAAAGGAGCATTCTCAGCATACCAGACCCAAAGTTTCTAACATTTCACCTACTTTTAGAAACTGCGGTATCCCAAAAGAGTTTTTACTGTGCACTTTCTCTTCCTGATTAGTTTTTATAACTGCAGATCTTTAGCTTGTATAAAGCTATATTATACGTATTCTAGAGCACACGGACACAAATTAATGCCTCAACATAAACAAATCAGTCAAGGCCTCATTTAAAAGAACTGATAACTCTGCGACCCTGGATGCCTACAACATCCCAAAGAGCATAATTTACTGTATTAACTGTAGCTACAGTAACAAACTACTAGTGACACCCACTATCAGACAAATATTTAGTGTCTTTTGCTTCTTTCTTAGAGAGACCTTAGGGTGTTTGTGGAAACTTCAAGCCAATTTATCAGCCCTCTTGGTTTGGCATGCATGTGTGTACCTTACTGCTGCACAGAGTATGCTTCATCAGGTGTGTCTTCAGCTACACACACATTCCAAGGACGACTGGAAGAGGCTGGCTGCCCCTATCATATGTCTACTGGAAACTACAGGGACTGAACACCACAAATGTCAGCAGGGTGGGTTCCAGGCTGGCAGCATCGTTTGGCATTAGGTTGACTTTCCTTCATACTCTGTCTGACCGCTCACCTCCCAACCTCTGCCTCAATATGGAAGGTCCTCATACACTAAGGAAAAGTTTAGTACACAAAAACCTTGTTTATTGAAGACTAGGTTTTTCTACTTTACTTCTGCTATAGATATCTAGATAGGACCTCTAAGATTTTCTCAAAACAACAATTCTAATTGGTAAAATGAGTTATTCGTCCCAAACAAATTCAGTGCTCAATTAAACATAAGGGTGCATTCACACATGGTTAAATTGCTTGTTTCGAACCCAAGTTCGATCCTCCCCACCTGCTCCCGCTAAATTGTGTATACATTGTATTTTTTTGCCTTTTGAACTGCGGTATGTTTGTCTTATCTGAAGCTGCATGTGTTTACCCATTGTTGCTAGGTAACGGCAATGCAAGAGAAGGCAGCAAAATGCATTGCGTTGCCCGTCTCACTTTTATAGTTTGATTTTGTTTCTAAAGAACGGGGAAGTCTATGTTTGCAGTTTGTGGGTGCGAAACCAAAAGTGCTAGAATGAAAGCACTTTAAGATATAGCAGACATACCTGTAGCACTGCTAGCAATAACCCTTACACACGTGATTCGTTGCAGTAGCATATAAAAAAGTAAACAAGACAAACTGTTTAATTGCCTTCCTTTGAGGGACAGTTCACCCAAACATTTAAATTCTGTCATCATTTGCTCACCTTCATGTCATTCCAAACCTATATGTATTTCTTCTGAGGAACACAAAATAAGATATTTTGAAGAATGTTGGTAACCAAAAAATTTAGTATTTTTTTGCATTTGTATTTTTTTTGTGCAAATAATTAACCATCTACTTCCATTGGATAGATAAAAACACTGAGACGTTTCTCAAAATACCTTTTTTTATGTTCCATAGGTCATACAAGTTTGAGGGTCAGTAAATGATGAAAAAATGTTCATGTTGGGTGACCTATACCTTTAATTTTTCTTTAGGCTTTAGGCTCAGTGCGAGCAGGGTAGCGTGCATACACCCTACCTGCATGTTTTCAAAGGTATGGCTTGTTGGCATCCAGCAATGTGACGAGTTGTTCATGGAGCAGGCAGTTCATTCCTTCTGCCCTGGACCTCACACTCCTCAGACACTGAGCACCTTTACTGCTGTGGAGGACTATTTGTTTTTCCTCTGCTATGGTGCACAACTTCACACACCACATGCTGGGGCAGCAGTCATTCTACCAGCAGCAGTGCACTCTAGGGTATCTTGGGGAGGGTTGACCTCTTCAGGTCAGGACAGGAATTAAATGTGTTTCCTGGGTTATTCTCTTAATCCTAATTTTCTATTCTCTTTGGCTTTTACTTTCACCCCTAAAGAGATACTAAAAGACCTAAAAGAAACTAAATGACCAGGAGGTTGTCCCTCGTGCGACAGTATGTGTGAATTTGTATGCAAGTCATTTGCATAAAGCCATAGTATCCCTGACACATTCCCCTAGCCCTGCGGATTCTCTCCTTACAGTCTCTCAGTCAGGGTCAATCCCATTTCATTTCCAGTAATTCAGTGGCTGAATGTGAAATTGAATTGGAGCTGGACCCAAGCCCATTGAGTAAATAGGGGAAATGCACAGCCTCCTCTCACAGTCCTACAGGCACAGCAACACTTATCCCACAGATTACCAATAGCGTTGCTATTGGTAAAAAACAAGGAATCATCTTATCATGGTCGCTGTTTTAAATTAGAAAGCATCCCTATTTGATCACTCTACTTTAGAATATAAAAAAACTGAGGTAATCTGTATAGCACACTGGCCCGCATGGAAGTGCCATGTATCATGACTCATTAAAAGATGCATTAATAAAATGTATTGTCAAAGCAAAAATACTCACAACTTCTGTGTTTGTGATCTTGGCGAGCAACTCTGTAAGGTTGTCTCCCCACAGTGAGCGGTTAGTGCTGTTGAGCTGCAGGCCACAGATAGCCGCTGCCACGCTGCCCGTTGCAATCATGGATGGAGGGGACATGGCAAAGTTGAAATCTGAGGAAAGAGCAAACCAGTCAAGATTGGTCAAACTTTGAGTTCATAAAAATGTACTTTATCACACTTATACAGTATTTTGAATAGTAATATCAGATATTATTAAATTGATACAAAATTAACCAAAATCATAAATACAGATAAATGAAGACCCTTTCCATTAGGTCTGTGCACAGTCCTTTGCTAATGACTGCAGCCCAGGATAATGAGGGTTCACTTGGCTTGAAAAGAATCTGAAAAGCACCCCACCCCCATCCCTCTCCTCCAGTCACCCTTTGCAGATCGGCCCCTTTTCTTCCAGCTCCTAAGTAAATCGTGTGCTCCCTGAAAAAAAAGCCCTATAGCCTTTGGAAAGGATGGAATAAAGAGCCACAGTCCCCCTGCCAATGCTCACTGCTGTAGGTCCTTTTTCCACGTGTGGTCACAGGCGTACATCTCAAAGACCAATAACCTTGTTAGCTTTCTCACTGTCATTCATAATGCAAATAAGACAGCTTGTGAACGGGCCTGAAACCCCAAAAGACGACTGACTGCAAGAAGGGGGAGAAAGAAAGAGGAAAAGAAAGAACCAAACAACTTAGGCTGTCTGCCCCCTGCCTCATTGATTTCCATCTTTCTTCTTTTTCTACGACTCCCCCTCTCCCTATTTTCAGACTGTTTTTCAACACTTTTTTACTTCAGACACATACCCCCTAAAGTTGAATAGCATACATGTCATTGTTGTTACAACAGCTCGAGATTTGTGTCAGCGTTGCTGCTATCTTTTGGCATATTGAGTGTGGCCACTGGTGGACGTGGGTCTAGTGAGCAAGAGAGTGTGGCCTCATTGTCCGAAATCATCACCTCATATCATCCAACTGAGAGATGCAACATCAAGTCCTCTCTGTGGATTCCAATTCAACCTGACAGTCGCACAAAAGATGGGTGTTGGGGGAGGGTGTTGTTGGGTTTTAGACAGCAGGGGCGGCTGAGGGGGGCACTAAGCATCATTCTTTAATCAGTGTCCAGACCTTCGTATGGTTTTGGCAGAAGAAAAGACCCTCCTACCCACCTCATTCCCCCCATGCCATTCCTCTGATGCAGGGCCACCTCTGGGCTCACGGTCCCACAATCCCTGGCAGTCTTTGCATTACCATATTGTCATATTCAATTGCAAAGCAAACTGTGTGTGATGGCTCTGAGGGTGATTTTTCTTCCCCTTTCTTTTTAGAAAAAAAAAAAAAAATCAAAGCCCAGGGCCCTTTGATAACTGACGAGCATGCCTTCATTGCCTTTTTAACATTCAAAGCCAGCCATTTTCTCATTTTCTCAACTTATTATACACTCTTCCCTTTGTAGTTTTTGCCGGGCCAGACAAAAATGTCTTAAAAGACAAGTTCTGGTCAAGCAGAAAGAAGACAAAAACCGCATTGCAACTCTTAGGTCTTTTGGGGCAGGGAGAAAAAACAATGGAAAATAGATGCCCACACACAGCTTGCGTGTGCTGAGTGGGTTGCAATCTGATTTTTCACACTCTAGACAAGACAAGTTTGTCGGGGGAACAAGAGCATGCGCGTGCTAGTGGCAGAGCTGGACGCTCTGGTTTGTGAGAGTGGTAAGGGAAGAATGGATGTATTCTGCACGCCTTCATTGATATTCATGCTGAGTATAAACAGTGTATGTAGCTGAGTGGTGACGCCTGTGATGGAAGGCTCCTAGTAAGCGGCGGCTGGCTGGCCTGGTATACCAGCCTCTCACCCCCTTCAATGGACCATTCTCCTGCCCTCGCCACACTGCATCCCCAGAACTGTGCCAACACAGCAAGCTCCTTGGTGGGTGCAATGTGCTGTGTACGCATTTAACTTGTAAATTAATTAAAAGTCCGGAAAGTTGAGGAACGGCCAAAGAGACCGATGATTTGAGGGGCAATAAATCAAGTGCCAGGCTTTCGTGCAGATGCACAGGTTTGCCTTTACAGAAAGTCTTGTTTTAAGCAGTCTTGTTCGACCTGCCAGATAAAGATCAAACGTAAATATGAATTGGGCATCACAGTATAACACTTAGATAAATGGTAAAGCATGTAAGTGAAGAACTTAAAGACAGAGTTACTAAAAGAGTAGACATGTAACAAATATTCAAATAAATGTTCATTCATTGGCACTTTTTTGTAGCAGTTTTTAAACCTAACAGAATTTAAAATGTTTGTTTCATTATGAGGCTTTAAGTAATTAGTTATCAGCAGGTCTTTTCTGGGACATTCATGTATAACACTACATAGAAATGTATTACATTATTAGTCTATTGTCTTTTTTTTTTTTTTAATCTGTCACAAATCTTCAACAAAGTAAATTCATAATCAAAAGTGGCGTGTTGGTCTGCCCTGGCTGTAAAACCATAGTAAAACAGATTAATTCAAAACAGGAACACTCTTTGACTGTTAAAATCCTGTAACAACTTTTTTCAGTCTTGCTCCAGTGCTGAGTCTTTAGCAACAGCAGTCAGGCCGGTGTGGGAGGAAACAGAGCCTCTTGAATGAGAAATGACACGAATATGTCGTTAAATAGAATGAATTAATCGTAGAATTAATTTTCAGTCCTACTGAACTCTTCACCAGTCACTACTGTAGTTATTTATTTTTCCTAAGGGATTTCTCTGATAAGTAACCATCTGAAGAGTGGCAAGATGATCTCTACCTACAAAACATATTTGCTGCTAATATCATAACATGTCTCAGGTCTGTTATTATACATCTACAGACAATCTACGATGGAGAAGTAGGCTGGCTGCCTGGTGCTGGATGTTTAACAGTAAAATGGGGTATAATCACGTTTAATGAGCTTGTTCCTGTGTAGGCCTTCGACAGACTGCCCTCCGGAGAAACGCTTTATCGTGTGCTCCTTCTGCACTGACCCTTACATGCCTCTGCATATGAAATGGAGGGTTGTTCCTTTTGTCTCCTTTCTTGCGGTCTCTAGCCAAGCCTTCCAGCGATTTGCATATCTCTGAAAGGCCCCTCCATGTTATTAATTAATACTGAACTGGTCTACTCTGCCTGACCAAATCTCACAGAGTGCTCTAAACGGAACTGTTTTATCAAAAGCAAAGAACCATTAAAAATTAGCTGTCGTCTTTCCACACTCTTCTCTCCTTTCTCATTCAGATACAGGGGCCTTGATTTATGCATGTCTCAGAAAAGAGGGGGATGCTGAATTCTCTGCAAAGAAAGCAAACTGTACAGAGAAAAGAAAAGCAGCAGTCAGGGCATCTGCCTGGCAATTAAAATCTTTTGGACACCCCTCGAAAATCTGTTGTTTAACTAGTAACTAATTTGTGTATCGCTTATAACAGGAGATTTAACAAAAGAGGTATGTTGCACTGCATCTGCAATTTTTCGGCATCTAAAAACCAAGTTATTTTGTTAAACTATTCATATTATCCCAGCTATCATCAATGCTCATCCTGCCAATTCAAACCAGTTTCTATGGATTCTGTTTATGCCAGAGCAGTTTCACAACAGATCTATATCTATTGCAAAAACCAACAGCAGAATCAAAAGCTCCATGTTTAAAAGACCAGCCAGCTCCTCCTCCTATTCCCTCTCCCATCGTATGCCATTTTCCTAAAGTCAGAGTCACTCCCGAGGTTCATGGGGAGCTGAGCAACCCCAGGGAGGAAGAGAGAAGCCTGAGGGAACAAGGGTGGTGCACTGGATCCCATTACCGCCTATGGTGATGTTCGGTACAGGCTTGGCTGGGAGAACCAGCCCCACAAAGGCTCCTGATTATGGGAAAGTCGTCATGCCCTGAAGCATCTGGGAGGCGTGAGAAGAGGGGATAAGATATGAAAACATGACATGCTTCACTGTTTGGCTCGGCTGGAACAATACACTCCTCACGTTTTCTCACCCTCCTCTCATCTCTATGTTTGATCTCCTAAAGGTGGTCCACCTCTAAGAGCAGGAACAGCATAACCAATGGCTCAACAGCACACAGGAATGTCTTTAACTATCTGCCTTTTGAAGTGTCACTGCATTCAGAGTTAGCCACTGATATGCCCACCAAACATACCAGGCAAACACACAAGGCTTCCAGTGAAATTCTCTCCATTACAAGTCGCTATTTCAGTCCACATAGTTTCTCATGAATGTAATGAGATGGCATCTGATAATTTGCCTGCAACAAGAACCTGAATAAAGTTGCCATAGATACTAAACCCACAGAAGTCAGCTTTAATTTCAAGTTTTGCAAGGAACAAACATGGATCTTGCAACACATCACTTATTGAAGTGATGATGCAAGGTATCAACACCAACTTGACTAGGCAGTGGATCTTTTATCACTCATACTTAACACCAATGGAAGACACATACACGTTGACACTCTACTAAGTTATTGTACAAATGCATGTTGAGAAGATTTCATTTTAAACGAGTGGGATAAGTTCTATGGAGCACTGTACAAATTAGGAGTTAAAAATGCTTTGCAGGCATTATTTATTTCTAAACCAACATCCAACAATCCAACATCTACATTGAATACACTACCTGTTGCACAAAGGGCGATGAAAGTCTGCACATGTTTACGGATCAGGTCCAGCTTATCCTCAGGCAGTGGAAGTTTCCTCATAATGTGTTCAATAAAGTCATTGGGAGTGACAGCAGCCAGGTTCCACTTCAATTTGCCCAGGACAACCAGCTCCCATTCCTGTAAAAAGGTTTGAGGAAAGAAGCAAAATCACTATGGATCCAAACCTCAATAGTTGTGTGATCTGAATCCCTTTGCAGTATTTGAGGTATTAAGATATCAGTGTTTTTGCACATTCAACTGGAGTGACAAATTGCATCCTCAGTGGCTTCCTGTCAATAGATGTTTTCTTTTGATACCATAGACGTTGACAAGATCTAAATATCATTTTGTGAAGACACTGGATGTTGGGGTAACATTCTATATCAACCATTCAGACAGAAGGTGTAAAAAAATTATTTACTAGAGATGAGGTACTTAATAGGTTGGTACTATAGACCTTATGCGCCAGAGAAACGTGCTCGCAGCCATCTTTAGAATTTTGTCTTTGAACTTCAGTTTTTGCGGTAGCTCTATATATTTCTAAGGCATTGGTGAAGTGGATTTACTTATTGTAGAGTTAACTCAAGTTATCATGAGCATTGCAATGTTTTAAGTGGATGTCATAACATATGTCAGTAGACCGGGAAGATTTTAAAACGAGTGGTTCGTTCATAAATCCGCAAGATCTTACCTTCATGCTGTGGAAGTACAAACCGGAAGACAGAACACAATGAGCGCAGCGTTGAAAAGGGGCGGGGCTACATAAGGTCTATATGTTTATATATTAACTCTGCTGTTACACATTCAAATGTTGTTGCTATACATTTAAACCAGATCACACCAAATCTAGCCTCAGTAAAGCTCTGGGACCTCCAGGACATGGTTTGGCCTTGGCTAGGCAAAGCTACAAGCGGAAATCCTAAAAGCTAAAAGGCTGAATGCAGGCACACTTGAGTAGAAAAATAGGTCACTCAGATTGCCTAGTCACTTCACAGAGACTGTCCAGCATCAGGTACTTTCCTCCTTAGCATATAAACATAATTCTGAGTTTGTTTTATAGTAATCTGTCCAGTCAGAAGAGGCCGAAGTAGACATAGTTAAATATTGGACCTGTCATTAGCCCATTTGCAACCACAAACACACTCATAAAAACATTCATTTGTAGCCAAGTTGTATTTAAAAGGCTTGTAATTAGATTTAGATGTAACCTCAAAAGAAAAAACAAGGCTCAATTATGACCTTGAATGTGACTGTTCAACACTACTGATGATACTATTTCGTCTTTTGGGGGTACTCTTGATGCATAACATGAACTTGCTTTGACCTAACTCACAATGACGAATGTAAACGCAAGATGCTCAGTCATTTGGTTTCAGTCAAGAAGACAGCATCCTGCAAATAACCACTCCCCCTTCCATTTTGAACTGAGTAACAGGGGACCAAATGACTAATTGGGGAAAACTTGCATTTGCTGGGACAGTCCTTATGACTGAGCACTCGCTCAAATGGAGGTGGTTTTCTCCACAAATGAACCACATACACTTTCTTCATGAGATGGCTAAATATCATTGCCATTACATTCTGAGACATACAGTAAAGCCTTTACAATTGCTATAAAGCACAGACAAAAGATTACGCTGAACTTGTACCCCTGCAACAGCTTTCTTAGTGAGCAAGAATACAATGGCAGCCATCCGCTGATGCATGATTTCTCCACTTCCTCTCTTTGCTGGATTTCACTGGTGAGTGACTCACCCAAAAGTACAAACAGCAACATGTTCCTGTCTGTTCTCTCCTTAGGGGAGGTGCCTGATGTGAACATGAAGCCATGATGACATGTTGGAGCCACAGTCGCTCAAAACCATTGACTTAATACACCAAGAGGGGTATGATGGAATGTAAACTATGAGCAGAGGCGTTCTCCAAAAGAAAACCAATTACACGCTAATGTGAAAATGTGCCACTGCGTTCTGTCACTTTGGATCTGTAAAGTTTGGGCAGCAAAAATATGCATGTTGATTTTGGTGTGTTGCTTTGTTCTTAAAGGGAAAGTTTACCTCAAAGTGAAAATTGTGTCATCAACACAAAAAAAAGATATTTGGAAGAATGTCTGTTATTTTCATACAATGAATGTACATTGGACAAAAACAGCTGAAACATTCTTCAAAATTGTTTTGTGTTCTGTAGAAGAAAGAAAGTCATACAGGTTTGGAACGAAATGAGAGCGAGTAAATGATGACAGAATTTTCATTTTTTGGTTACTAATTAAGTGCAGGGACAGTTTTGGCAACTATAGAAGGCTCAAAACTACATAATTATGTATTAGCAAACGTTTGAGTACTGTATTTGTGTACATCTCCATCTTTGGTCATATTCGGAGCACATTGTTGAACCTTTATGAGGCCATGAATGACCACAAACACCAGCTTTAAGTAACTTTAGGACACCATATTGTCTTCTGTGGCTATCAACTCAACAGTCCAGTGTCACCTCACCAGTGCACTGATGGCAGCCCTAAAACTTAATTTGACATTCTTGCAACACAGCCTTGATGCAGGAACCCACTTCCTCCTTTTGTGCCCTCCAGTCGTACCTCCAGGCTGTCACTGCGGTTTCATTTACAAGAACTTCTTGCCAGCTAACGAGGACAAAAATGTAAATGTGACTGTGACAGCTGATATTCAGTTGCCTGCATCTGTTGGACTTTGCAGACCAGCAGAAGCTCCACAACAACAACAAAATAACACTAGGCAAGGCTGAAGAGAAAAAACAGGATGCCCACCCACAGCAGCAATTCGCTGACAATTTATGAAAAAATTCATTTTTATCTTTGGCCTGAGCTACTAAAACACTGCCCATTTCCACCAGAAATACAATGCTGAATCAGTAAGAGCTGAGGAAAAACTCACAAAGTGCAGGTGTAACATAGTCAAATGTTTTTTATGCCACACTGTAGCCTACTGTTTTTTCCCCTTGACACTGAGTGATTTAACAGCATATTTAGCTTTCATGTCTACAGTTTTTCCTCTAAATCAATAATTTACTCATATAGTTAGTTAACCTATGCAAATAGAAATGAGAAGAAGCTGAATGACGATATTCCAAAGATGAAAAGTTAGTCAATTGACTGTATCTCTCATTTGACACTTAAGGTGATGATACATGGGAAAACTTTTTGAGCAATGTTGCTGGGCAATGTTGCCGTCAACTGGCAACCAGGTGAGACACAGGGCCCTTGACCGATCTAAAGATTTCAGATCAAAATTTGTTGCCCATTCTCAAATGGAAATTTCCCAAGCAACATCGCTCGCAACATTGCACAAAAAGTTGCCCCATGTATCATCACCTTAAGACTATATTCACAAAACATACACCTAGCGGATTAAGACCTCAGCCCTGATGTTGCTGTGGGTTGCATATTTGCCACTAGATGGCGTAATAGCCCTGTGATGCATGGACACGCACTCAAATACCCTTTAGTTGATATTTGAATGTGGAGAACATCCATCAGGCAGAATATTCTGTCAAACAGAACCTAGTCTTTGTTTTAGACTACTTTTAATTCTTATGTGGCTGATTTTTAAACATACACAATATGAAAAATAATTCCATCAAATATTGCAGTGGGCTACATTCATTTTTAAATGAAAATTAAAATAAGTGGGATGCATTAAAAATATTTAGTGTATAACAGCAGTATGCAATTCATATTTGGGGGAAATTGTGGATAAAGTATGTAAAACAATTATCTAGTAGTTGCTACAGATAGGTTAGTAGGTTTTGGTATGCAAAGAGTTTATTTGGTGCTTACCAGCAGTTCCTGCGGTCTGATTGAGTTATCAGTATAGATGCACAGCTTCTCTGCAGTTAATGGACGCGTCTCTTTCAATTTAGACGCAAGAAACATGCACACTGCTCCGAGCAACTGCAAGTTACATTTTCTTGTTGGTACCACCGCTAAAAATCGGTCCAAGTAGTTCATAGCCAGTGGAAAAACTTCTTCCTCGCATTTCTGTTCCTCGCAGACCTGGAAAGGGCAGGGCATAACTTAATCAGTTCAGAGGAAAAGATGCACGTGGCGCAACAAAATTAGTGTAATTTATGACAATGTCTATATATATATATGTGTGTAAAATAATTATCAAGAAAAAACGAAATATGTCGTACTGTCCATCAGTGACATAGATATGAGGTTGTAAATCGTTACGGTAACATTAGAGATTGATTAAAAAAAAACGTGCAATTCCTGTCTTGTAGTTATAAATGTATAGGATGAAAAGAGGACTCAAACATCTTTGTCAATAAGCACACATTCCTTTGGTTCATTCAGTAAGAAACGAATTCAAATCACAATCATCCGAGCCAAAAAACACCCATGCTACACAGTACGGGATGTGTTTTTTTAATTCGTCATATTTTCATAAAATATTTAAAAATATAAATAAATTGTCTACGTCCACTATTCATACCTCTAAATATTCACCAATCCCTTTTACATCATTCCCGACAATTGACAAGTTATTAAATCGATGTTTTATATGATTAAAACGAGATTTTTTAAACGAAGTAGCATGCGGTCTAGATGAGTGCGTCACCATCGGAGCGAAATATGTTTTTCAAAAATTTGTATAAATTCTCCTGCTCGATTCACCTGAAAATTTAAGACATGAAAATAAAGCTAAGGTCCTCCTCTAACGTTTCCAACACTCAAAGATAAGAAATATGAAAGATTCCGACAAAAAACGAACTTAATTCCAAGGCTATAGACTTCGATCAGCATGGGTTAAGAAGCAGCACGGCCCTCGCCCCTTCCGCAACCATATATTTCAAAAAATTGTACAAAATTATAGAAAAGTAATTCCCAATATATTCAACCATAATTATAAACCTTAGACGCTCATTTATCAAGTAATGCACACGTAAAGAGTTGTTATGATCATTTTGTTGCGATAAAGTTGTTGTGAAAGAAAAACCAACATGGCGATGGTTAGATGTAGCACAGCGGCAAGCATTGAAGTGCATACGTGTGCATGGAAATATTTATCCTAAAAATAAATAAATAACATTAAGCACGATGCTGTCCACTGTGTTGACGGAACCAAAAACTTTAAGAAATATGCGCTTATGACCACTGACATATGTCGATAACCTCCATCCCCCTGCAAATCTAATCGTGAACTTGGTCCAAAATCAGCGCTTATGACTGCAATAAAATAAATAACCCGACAAAATCGGATCTGCCCTTTCGGAAATATTAAAGTAGCTCCTTCAGTTGCATTACACAATGCTTAGGCTACATGACAGAATAAAGGAGAAAACACTTTGCAAGACATTTTGAAGATACGGCGTATAAGCACGGAAATGATCGGATATGTACAAACCTCCAACATCCAAGTTGCCACCATCCTCCGCATAAAGGGCTGAATGTCTTTCTGAATGCATTTAAAATAAGAACACTGGGGAAGAAACCTCTCTTCGATGGTCAACAAGCTCTGTAGTACCCTGTCATCATATAGAAGATTCGGGTCAGGACGGGCTCTTATAATGGTGTCCATTTCGAGACAAAGCAGTTCCATGATTGTTAAAGTCCTTTTCGATCTCGAATATGCCTACCAACAGTAAAATATAATGGTTGCGAAAGATCAAAAAGTGGAGAAAGGACTTTTCGGACACATAAAATCAGTCTACAAGGCTGTCCAGGTTAGTCCTGATCCCTTTGCAAACTTTTCCCCACTAGTCTCTTTCTCTGCTCTGCTCCTCTCGCTGCAACATTTGAGGTCTGCAGATGTAAGGCTGTGTGACGCAAGCTTCACAAGCAAGCAGATCTTATTATTGGCCAGAGGCAACATGCTCGGTCTTCCTCTTTTTTTCCTCCATTCTTGCTCTTGTTATCATATAATAAATAGACTCCACAAGATGGACAGAAAGACAATATTTGCTGGTATTATGGTTCATCAAGACGTTCATCCTTAGTTAACTCACCCATTCATACATACGCGACTATTTTAACGACGTTGGGTAAACATTAACATAAACACACTGCACCCAAGGAAATACTCAACTTTTATATGGAGCCTATCACGAAGTGTTCTAAACCGTCATTGATTTATTTATTTTTTGCATGCTATCAAATGCACATCCTTGATCAATGGTGATGTCAGGCAGAAATTTGCGCAAATTAAACCAATAAATGGTCGAAAACTTTTCTTTTTGACTGTAAGGACACCAAAACGTCCCCTCGTCATCACAAAGTAGAAATAGAACTATCTTACATGAAGCAGCAACGCTTGTGGTCAACGAGATAGCTTTCTAGGAAATGCAGCGAAAGCATGAAGCAACGCTCTCTGGTTAGAGATAGCAGCTGCAATGCTAGTTATTCTCTTGAGCTGCTTCCAGTGTAGGCTATTATATAAAGCATTAGCTATAGTCTCTATTTAGGACCGAAAAGCCAAGCCTCAAAAGGAGATGTGAGCATTCCAAAATTGTGTTCTGCTATACCTAACATGCAGGTGACGGATTTCAAAAGCCCATAATGCACTCATTTATAAAGTAAGTTGCAAATGAGACATAGCAGTATAACCTTTCGTATCATAGGGGAATTACAATTAAATGGCGCTAATGTGTTTTCAAAGAGAACATCTAGTGAGTGAGTTATTGATCGAGGTGCATCTCGAGGTTCTCAAGCCTGTTAGTGATTCCGAAGAACTCAACAGACCGCAGCTATGTAGTCTACTTTTGCAACAGTTGCTTTGTTTCAACACTTTTTAAATGTGATAGGAAATGTCTCTTTAAAATCTTTTTTTCTTCTTCTCGCTGTAGATTGTTTCCCTCCCCTGTTAATTTGCATAGCCAATAGTTCTTCTGCGCGCTTTCGGATTGTTACTGGGCAGACTTTGTCAGTGGAAGTTCACCTTCTAAAACGCCAGAAAGAACCTAATCTATTTTACCGATCACCTGATGAATGTTGCTGCTTCACAGAGTCTGCCCCACGCTGATGACATGAAGAAATTTATACAACTCTACAGCATTTACAGCAATACAATCCGAGTGATGCTTTGATAAACTCATAGATCTATCAGATCTATATTATACCAGATAAACTGATTCTGATTACAATTCATGCAGGACAAATAAAGCAATACAATTTAAATAATATATAGGTCATAATTTTCAAAAGTTATGTCAGCCCATAAGTTTCTATTTTTTTATAATAGTAGCCATAGCCCATACTTTACCCTGACCAAACGCAAGGCTATTATAAATCTAAATGAACAGAGCAAGCGAAAATGATGCATATCAGCTACAAGATCAAATTAAGGTATAATTAAGCAATTCCAGTGACTTAAATGCTGAAACATATAGTCATTTCATTTCCTTATTAAAACATCCGCGTTCCTTATGTAAACTGCAGGGTTGCCCACACGCACCCGACACGTGAAATTTCAGTAATGCAGGGTGTCTGAGTGGGTCTCATCGTTCCAAATGCCGCATTAATTGATTTAAACAATGAGGGCTACGAGTCATTATAACATCAAAGATGCATCCTTTTTTATTGAAACAATATAAAGCTTTCTTTTTCTATCGCACTGAGTGGTTATCATTCAAATGTTCTTTAATAAAACAATAAGACGTTACTCAAATTATCCGCATTTGAAAAGCTTTAGATAAAAAAAACCGTTTTGCATAAACATGAAATATTTTTCTTATTACCATGAAATATAGATATAGGTAGATATTGTAAGTGTGCAACGTTTTGACTCATTAAGTGGTGTCTAATTCAAACCTTCATCTATAAATCAACGCTTTTAGTTTGCTTTGAACTCATTTAAGACATTCAAACAGGCATTTATATATATATAACGTCAAAAAGAGTTAACTATATTTGATTCAAAAATGCCTGTCTCTGTGGTTCACGCCTCTATATTCTAACCTGACCATGCTGTTTTTTCGCGGAATAATGACGTCACTCAAACGCTTCTCTACTGGGCTAAGCAGTTCAAGCTATTTCCCGGATGCCTGCAATTAACGCGATATCCGTGAAGACACACCCAAATAAAGTTTGCTAAACCATCCAAATATCATAGCTGATTATACATTTCAGTTTTTCACACATAAACTTGGGTGTTTTCTTCCATGGAAACTCAGAGCTTAAGGTTTGAGTCTCCATAAATCAAGGAAGCAAATGTGTGGATAATAAGAAATTAATTTAAGGACAGAAATATTTGCTTATTTGTTTTTTTTCATTTAAACTTAGAAGATATAACTCATGCATTACAGCAATAATCTACTGCACTGCACAAACACTTCCTTGATGTGAAACTATTGTTGAAAAAAAGAGCCACAAATACTAAGAAATTATTATTATAATTTTTCTAGAAAAATATGTTAGCAAACCTGAATAATTAAATAAAGCTATTTAAATGTATATTTCCGAAAGGGAGATCTTCCTGTAAACATGTTTAAAACATGTTTGTTTTTTATTATCAGGCACACATAATCATGCTTACTAATGTTATTTTGGACTTTTGTATTGCACTACATTATTTACAAAATCATCCACAATCAGTTTTATTTCATTGCATTTTAAATTACAAACATTTCTTTATTTAGAATATTGTTCAATTCACAATGAATTAATTGAGCAATTAAACTAGAGAGAGAACAATAATCAATAATCACAATTGTTTAGACTACAGATATTATCAAAATCCTGTAGCATTCTCTGAACAAAATACATTTATTTCCAGGAGAAAGTTTTTGAATAAACAGGTGGCCGCACCCAACATTGGCTTCTAACTATTTATGAAGTACATGCATTAAAATTCACTAAGCAGAAAATGTCTTTACAATGATAGCAAATTACAATTAAATTCTTAGTCAAAAGGCAAGAGAAGAGAATAACAAAATAACAGATTTCTCACAGTTATAGTGTCATGCTTGAGCAACAACAGATGTCCTTACTGAATGAAAACAAAAGCACTTAGCCATCCATCACAAAAAAATATTTGATATGCTTCATTAATTGACATAGTTTACAATTATTGTAAATGACAACTACTGGTTGAAACTGCCATTGAGAAAAAAACAAAAAAACAAAAGGAGTGAATGTCTTCATCTTTGGAGACAAAAAAAGTATACACAATTTACACAGAACTGAATTAAATAATCTTTTTTTTTAAACAAACAATATGAGGAGAAATATCTCTATTTAATTGTCTACACTAGTCATGAATTTATCTTAATTCAAAATGCACAAGCACATGAAACTTGCATTAAGATACATTCAAATATTAAATAATTAAAAATATATATTATGATTTTAAATGTTCTGAGGGGGGGGGGGGGAATGAAAAGATATATATATATATATATATATATATATATATATATATAACTATTCTGGATTAGTTCAATCTATATGACTTTTTATCACCTATTATTTTACATATAGTTTTAGACTTTCATGACCTAATGACATGAAATGTTTTATATTACACATTTATTGGGATGAGACAAATTCTTTATAACTGACTTTAATCTCATTAAAAAGACAGGTCAGACAAACAAAGTCTTACTGTTGTCTGGAAATGTCTTTGTTTAGCCAAATAGAGGTAAAAAGTATCAAAATGTGAAAGAGATGCAGAGGAATTAAGCATTGTTGACATGCTGGTGGGGACGTTGTAACACTGCTTCTCAATGTTATCTTATTTACTAGCACAAACCCACAACAGGTGCATCAGACCTGAGGAAATAACTGTATAGAGCATAATCAAGTATAGCAGCAGTCACAAAATAGCATCAGGCTTATCTCCGAATTGAAAAAAAGAGACTTTCTTTGCTTTACTTACAAAAATTACTGGAGGAATCTATGTTATTTTTACCCCATCATCATTACAGACATCAAACGCCAACCTGGACAATGTGTTGACAGACATTTTCTTCAGACATAGTCTGTCTAGTCCAATATGGCAATACAGATCCCTGCCAGCAGCACATGACCAACATTTCAGCATTCATACACCCGACCCCAGAATCCTCATATAAACACGATAGACATCTGTCAAAATGGGGGCTCAGTGTGAAAACTAAAACTCTGCACCTCACAAGTAAATATTACTGTGTCCAATATACCTCTAACAGGTAATGTCTTGTCTTTGTAACACACCAGCACATGTTCTGTTGGACAGCAGAGCCACTGCTGTCTTCCTCTCCTCTGTGCCTCTCATATCACAAGCCCTTGAGTTTGTCACTCACGCAACAGCTGCTGGCTGATACTTTACCATTCCAGTATCCATTTTTTCTTTCTCCCTTCAAGCTAAGAACCCACAAAGAGAAACAAAAGCCTTGTTGGAGAATGCAAGGACATTTCGGGGGCAGGTTATGTCCCTCAAGTATTTGTCAGCACAAAAAAGGCCATTCCGACTTTGCATGGCTGACTCTTCCATTACTGGGAAAACATCCTGAGAAGTTCCACCTGTGAGCAAAGCATACTTCAGCTTTGTCAACAATGTAGCAGTCGAGATCAAACACCCTTTGAGCAGAAACACTCTATCTTGAAACCAACTTGAAACTAAATGAACTTTTGTGTTGTGCACAGACCTTTTCTATCAGCTAAAAACCACCTGCAAGCAAAGTAGTGCTTGAGACTTCCTGATCCAAATGCAAGCTAAACACTTTCACTTTGCAGTTCTGTTAAGGTTCCTGTCATGTTCTCCTGTGATCCCACACTCACACCTGCACTTGTACGCACAAGGTATGGCATCTTGAGGTGGGTTTGCACCTCGGTTGCTCTAGTCA